ACAGGAAGACGACGTGGGTGAGATAGTGGTTTTACCAGGACCACAACAAGACAAGGTCCACGTATCATCAAACCAATCTGCAACAGGTTTGTGTTCCTTGAGCCAGGATCTACCAAGAATGACATCGAACTTTGTATCAAAGACGAATGCTGACATTGGGCTTGTATGACCTTGCAAATTCAAATCGTAGACAATCTTTTCATTAATAGGAGATACATTGCCACCTGCAGTTTCAACCTCTCTTCCATGGATCACGCTACGATGGCCTTCAATCATGTTTGCAATTCTACCTGAGATGTAGTTTTCACTAGCACCATTGTCAATTAGGCACTTGACTTTGACTACACCCAGAGAATGTTTGAGTCTGACGGTTGCTCCATACAAAGGTAGAGTTGAGGTATTTGCTGCATTCAATAAATTTGTCAGGTACACAGAGTCAGTGGTGAGGTCAATGGTGGTTGACGTATCCAAGTCTTGAATGATAGGAGACAATTCCACAGGACGACGAGTATTTGAGTTCGCAACGACAGGGTTTAAATTCACCACTGGATTGTTGTCTGGCACAGGTACAGAGACATTATCCGGGGTAGTAACAGGCACAGAAACCAAAGCAGGAGAAGACGCAACAGAGGAATCCATCATGGCAATGACTTGATTCAATTCATCCATCTGTGCGTTTCTTTTCTCAACCGCAATTTTATCACACAGGGACAACAGGTAAGAGGAACCGCTAGCTTTATTACTACTTTGACATTGGTTGCAATCACAACCATGGTTATCCTCTTCTCTGTATTCAACATCCAAAATACAGTTCAAAACACCAACATTCTTGAAAAGCTTGCGTCTAGTGTCCAGATCCAACTTGTCAAATGCATGCATAATTTCAGTGGCACGGGAGAGGCAATTCTTGGTGGTATGTCCAACTTTCTTGCAGTGAAAACATGTGAGGCTGGAATCATACCTATTACGGCCGCGATTATTGTTGTTTCTCCTGTTGTTATTTCTGTTTCTGTTGTTGTTGTTGCTGTAGCTGTTACTGTTGTTGTCGTTGTTACGATGCATGATGGCATCTAGGTCCATAGGCTGTACATCACCGTTGTTGTTATTGTATCTAGTGTTTGTCTGAACACCAGCACTGATCTCCGGATGGTGGGCGAATTCATGAGCCAGAGCATCAGAGAACAGCTTCTCCAACGTACGTGATTCAATAGGCATGGCGCGAATTTTGGCAATCAATTCCTTGTCCTTTAAACCTCTCATGAAACGATCACATTGCTCACGTTCACTAATATCCTTGATGGGAATGACAGCATCCATAAAACGATCCACATAATCCCGAATTGAACTGGTTTGGCGAATGGTGACCAAAACATCACGGGCCAAATCTTGATCGTTGGTGGGACGGAAATTGCTAATCAAAATGTCCTTCAGCTCCATCCACGTTGTAGGTGTGGTAAGATTACTGTCGGGATCTTCATAATGGGCAACAATAGTGGCAGCACGTCCAGATAGCAAAGAAGAGGCAAAATTGTAGGTGCGTTCTTCATTCCAGCTGTTGTGCAGCTTTTGTTTGTCAATCAAACGAATCCAGGCATCAATTTCACTTGCATTGCGAGTGCCACTGTATGTAGGTGGTGTTGGCAACTTGACAGCAGGTGCTTGATTTTGTGCCTGAATGAAGGCAGTCATCATGCTGGTGAGCATGTGTTGGTTTTGTTCCATGAATTGAACATAGTTGGGTGGTATTTGTGGTTGTTGATTGTCTTCAGCCATGTTGTTTTAATAAAATGTGGTGAGAGAGACCAGAGAGAGTGTTGACTCGAGATTTGTGTGTTTGTTTTGATAGTTGGATTATTATTTGGGATCTCCGAGTTCGTGGAATAGGAATCAACAGCGAACGAGATGGGGTAGGTAGTGTTCACAGAGAGGAACTATGAACAACTGTAGTAAAGAGGGTTGACTATTATGATTCAGTAAATGCAAAGATCTAATATAGATGTTTCGATCTTTCCCTTTAATGAATACTTAGCCGGCGTGCCTTGATGATCGACTTTTGTTTACTATCTGTTATAGGCGACAAATAGAAAAAAAGGATTTAAAAAATAACAGAAGTTGCTACCAATTGTCAGATGCTAATACGTAGAGATAGTATATGCAATCTGAGATCTGATCGAGATATAAATGGAAGTAGATATAGAGAGTGTGCAGGAAGATGTTATAGCCTTTTAGTTGAATGGATAAAAAGGTGCTTTATTAATATTAGATTTGAACATTGATTTTATCCAATATAGTTTGTGTAATGTTGTGCGCTATCCAGGTTAATCGCTGTTTAATGTTCCTGGTAGCTGGCGCTCTAGGTTTAAACCTGCGCTTCTTATTCTTGTTTGTGTTTAGTCTGTCAATGATATCCTGCAGATCTAAATCACTGTCAGAATACCCTTCAACCCTGACAAATCACGGAAGCTGATTTGGCCGAGTTGGTCTAAGGCGCCGCACTCAAGTTGCGGTCTCGCAAGAGGCGTGAGTTCGAATCTCACAGTCAGCAATATATTTTTGTCAAATTTATATTAGCGTGAGACGTTAATGTGTGTTTTATTTTTCACAGGCTTTGTGAGCAACCTTTTAGTTAGTATTAAAATCAAATTTGTTTGTAAAACTGTCGCGAATAGAGGTATGGTTATTGAATAGACTTACGCTAGTGTATATAGAAGAAGAGAATTGATATAAAAGATTATCTTTATTATTTTGCAAATTGATTTGTTACTTATACTAAATTAAAATGTTAAACACAAAGTCTGCGTGTACCTGACAAAATAATAGAACATTATATTTTATCTTATATCTATTGTTACAGATGAGTTGGTAGTATTGTGTATAGTTCTGATAAATGAGTTTGACAAGGGATGGTAAATTAGCTTAAGCAGATTGAACTACTAAATGAGCACGAAGTTTACAGTTGTCCATTTGGAGTAAACAAATAAACAGAAGAAAGAATAGAAGGTAGATAATAATACAGAGATATATACAAAAGAATTTTTAATGAGTCAATTATTCTATGAAATATGTATATATATAAAGAATTCAAGGGGTCTTACAAGTGTCAGATGTAAAATATAAGGAAAGAGTAAATATAATAGCTAGCAAGCTTTATAAATGATACGTATTGAAATGTTTGTTGAAGTATAAGATGATTTTATTAACTGACTTTTGAGATTTATGATTTTTGCTATTTCTCTATTCTATATGTTTGTGATAATGTCCTGGTTTACAAGGATTGAATTGGGGTTTGATAATACTACTGTACTAATATCCTTCGATGAACGAGGGATAGCTTGCTTAATTTACAAGGGCTAGTATATATAGTTTTATATAGCTTGGTTATGTAATAGCACTTGATGGATCTAAGATATAGAATTTGATAATATGGCTGTCCTTTTTGAATACGGAAAACATTGCAGGGCTGATTGGGGCCTTTAATTTATACCCGCTTGATGTGAGTCAGAGTGAATTGTGAATGGAATGTAATTTACGCGGTACCAAGTGTGATGTATTTTATTCGTTTGATGGTGAAGAGCAAAAAGAATGGTTGTACATAGTGACAAGGAAGTGGATATTACGACTCGTAACACTACTCTTTTGTATGCTTGTCTAAATCTACTTTATAACAGCGCGTGTATTTATGCTTTGGATGGCTCTCTACCTTCGCAGCTCGCGCTACCGATTGCCCCTTCTCGTTTTATCAAAATACTGCTACTACTTTCATTTTAACTTTTATCTTGCACCTGAAAACCCTCCATATAATCTGTGGATCTGACTATAATGTGATGTTCCACATCCGTATACGCGTAGATGCTTCATATACGGGCCAGTATCATACAGATATTTCCTCTTTTTAGTCAAGAGGGTGCTTAATACAGCAAAATCTGAGTGCATTTGAGCTACGTTTTCTCGCGTTCAAGGCCGTTTTAGATCGCCAGAATAGCATCAAACAACTGCTTTCATCTGGCTGTTACTTCCTGACACTTTTGCTCAGCTTTTTGGAGACCAAAAAAAACATGGCCAAAAATCGGCCAAAGAGCATGAGGTACCCCTCATGGTTTTCATTGAAAATCAAACGATCGCGTTTTTCACCTTGATAACGAAGACTTTTACTATGACACACATTAAATCAAAATGTTTCTATCGATCTAACGTAACCCCTGAAGTCATCTTTTTAGAACCTTGATATGTAAGATTTCGACTTTTTGGCCAGAAACCTCTTTTCATATTTTCATAGATTGCTCAATAAGTTTATTCAAAACATTCATATTACTTGGTACCATTGGAAGCACCTTGAAAAGCACTCCAAGAAATCTTAAAGAAGCAAGGGATGATCATCATATTCTTATAGTCGAATCTAGCAAAAGAGTTCAATCAAGTCGAAAAACTATTGAAATCTGTCCAATCTTGAACAGAAACAGTATTTTGGGTTTAAATTAATTTTGGCAGCTGGTGGGGCCTGCTGACAAACTCTATGCCCTTTTAATCGTAAAGGCAATACAATAATAGATGCTTTTGAAGGGTATAGAAAGTAGGTGGTACACTACATATTGCCATTGTTAACCATCCTGTTTTCCTGTGAAGCTGTATATTTAATAACACCAGCCCATCAAAACGCTTGTAAGATCGACTTTTTTCTTTTTGAGGCTTTGAAAGTGTCTAGGGTTCATAAATTTATTATGTTCTGTTATCTATACACACGACAGCATAGTACTGTACATAAACAATGACAAGTATAACTGATTAGTGATAAATGTGTGTTCAATGTGTATTAGTAGTTGTGCATTAGAATAATTTTGTTGGATCCTTTTTAAAGACTTCAACCAACCCATTTGATTTACCATCTTAAAATGTATGACTTTGATTCACACAGTAGCAACATGCTCTATGGTTCGCATAAGAGAAAAAGTTGTTGTCTAAACAGCCAATGTGCTTTTATTATGGATGAATCAAAACAAATGCTAATTAGTTTTTAAGGAATGAGACTCGTCTTCAGAAGTGATAGTGACAGTTGGTACATTTACAATTACATTTTTTGTTGGAGAAAGTTGTTGTTGCATATCTATCGCCGTACTTGGTGGTTGTTGTGAACGATGTGCCTCTTCAGGAGGAGTGGATGAGCTGTAACCTTCTTCTTCATTGTCCATTACAAGCAAATCGCTGGTCATAAGGATCTGGGTATATGTATGAAGCGCTGCTTCAAGCTCTTCCTTTCGAACAGGTTTACTGACATAACCATTCATACCTGCATTTATACACTTTTCACGATCTCCAGGCATAACACAAGCCGTCATAGCAATAATGTAGGGTTTCACAGCAGAGAAAGCCAATTCTTGACGAGTTTTGGTGGCAGCTTCAAGACCGTTCATTTCAGGCATCCAGATATCCATGAAGATGAGGTCAATAGGTTCACCAGCATCTCTGGCACTTGCAATAATATCACACGCTTCACGTCCATTGCCAGCGATTTGAGGATGCATGCCCATGCGTGTCAACATACGAGATAGCACCTTTTGGTTGATGGGGTTGTCATCTACTAATAAAGATCTCACACTAGACAAGAAATCAGCAAGTGGACGGCCGGATGACGTGCTTGAGAAGCTATTTGATCGATGCCCAAGGTATTGAGGAGACTCAATATTGGAATGAGAAGAGGATAGAGTAGCAGGGTTTGATACTTGGGATCGAGTTCGAGTTAATAATGCATCTGCAGGAGAATTAGAAGATGAAGAAGCCTCCTGGTTGCTATTAGAGCCATTGCTGGTCAAACAATGAAGAGTAGACAAGAGTTTAGAATTCTTGAAAGGCTTGTAGACACTGAAAAATGAATCGTTGACTATATCAAAGGGGTTGCTTAACTCATCTTGAGGGGTGGATGGGCTGTCGTCCAATGCAGGTGAAGCACTGACTTGTTGACCTATAGTTGAAGGAGGTTTCTCCAGTTTAGTTGGTTTTCGAAGTCGCAAGTCATTGATGCACAATGTTGGAATGCTGGTCAAGAAGGGAAACTGTGTCCGAAGCTCATTAATAATGGCCTCGCTTGATGTGGTTTGAGGGTCAAAACCATCAACTACGTGCAGGTCGTCATCCACAATAAGTACTGAATGCTTGGTTTGCAATGTATCATAATCTTCAAAGTAAGGCAGGGATTCCTTGTAGCTTAACGATTTCGTGCCTGCAATTTGAAGGCTGGATAAGATGCTCTTCCAGCAGGTCTTTGAGGATTCCTTTTCGGTAATAACCAGCGGGTTCTTGCACAGCTTTGCAAGTTCACCCAAACGGTTCTGCTCGCCATATGTAGGACTATCTGGCTGCTTTTGTAGCAGCATTTGAAAGTTGAATGTTGAGCCTTTACCCAGTTCAGATTCAACCCACTAAAGAATAACATAAAGTGAGTATTCGAGTGCATATATATTATAAACCAATGCATCATACCATATCACCTCCCATCATGCGACACAGTTGTCGACTGATGGCCAAACCCAAACCAGTGCCGCCAAAATTACGGGTTGTAGAAGCATCAACTTGAGAGAACGATTGGAATAGTTTGCTTGACTTGTCCTTTGGAATGCCAATACCAGTGTCAGTAACGGATACCAGGAATGGCACTACATCGTGTGGTAGCTCGGATTCTTCAGTAATTAGAGGCACAGTTTCCGAAATCTCTTCGTCATTTGTTACATAATCTGACGCTGGTTTTGCGATATGCAGTTGGCTATGCGGACACAATTGCACATGAACATATACATGGCCCGATTTCGTGAATTTGAACGCATTGGACAGCAGATTCAGAATGACTTGACGGATGCGCACTAAATCACCATAGATCCGCACGGGTATATTAGGATCAATTTCATACCAAAGTATGAGGTCTTTGTCCAGGTAATTGGGCGCAACAAGCTTGATCGCGCTTTCAATGACAAATGTCTATACATTTAGGCGAGACAAAGTACATTAGTGCATAAATTCCATGTAAGACATTTGCAATAGCTTGTGTTACCAAATCCAAGATGCGTTTTTCCAGCGAGAGTTTTCCAGACTCGATTTTTGAATAGTCTAAAATGTCATCAATGATGGCCATTAGGTGATTACCTAGTATAAAAAAAATCAATAGCCGTACCTGGCGGTGCATGCGATCATGTTAACCTACCAGAAGATTCGATTGTCTCGGCACACTCGTACAGGTCGCTAGGTAGATCGCTCTCCATAAGTATACGAGACATGCCAATGACAGCGTTCATTGGAGTGCGAATTTCTAAGGATCGGCAATTAGCGCAAGCATTCAGAGCATAATTGCGCGGAAAAACTCACCGTGAGACATGTTTGCTAAGAAGTTTTGTTTAGCAGCAGCAGCAGCCTCGGCTACCTCTTTAGCTGCCTTCAAGTCTAGTTACAATAAGAGTTAATTTCACCAAATTAAGGCAATATGGCTTGTATTCTGTTACCTTGTAACAAAGTTTGTGCGCGTGCCCGTTCTTCCTCCAGTTCTAAAGTTCTTTGTTGGAGATTCGCCGTACGCTTACGAACCAGGTTCTCCATATCATTCGCGTATTTCTCTAGCTAAATTAGGCAGTGGGAAAAGAAATGTTTGTTAATCTGACATTCACGGCGTTGATTTCAAGAATAATCCTACCAAGTTGGCCAGATTGTCCACCACATTATCAGAGTCTGTCAAGTAGGGATCAATGTTTCTCATTTGACTCTATACAAATATAAGTATTAAGAAAACTGAAGGCAAAACATGCTCTACAGCTTACCTTGATTGCTAAACAACTGGGCCTAGAATTAGGATCAGACTGAAGGCAATCATGGATAATCATATTAATCTTATCAGCATATTCATCTTCTGCAGCCGCTCTCATGGTGACTCGAAGGTTCTCCTCGGAAACCCTCTGAAAAATGTTCTCGTATGAAATTCCTTGATTTATCAGTTTCTGATAGGGCCTCTCCCGTGTAAGAATTTCATTCATAATGATGCCAGCACTATTTTTAGCAGAAGTATGTTTGAGTGTTTGTCAAATGAAACAAATTGTGCAGATATACCTGTAAATGTCAGCAAGCTTTGTGGGGAATGTCCTGTAAAGACCTATAGGCGTACATGCCACTGACTCCGGTGCCACCCACAAGAGATGTTCGCTACTGGCCAAAATTCGAGTGTGATCTGAACACAAATCCTTGCAGTCCACATGAGAGTTCTTTCGCAATGCACCTATCACTGTGGGATCAACTTGTGAGCCATGAACCTTACGAAGGCCGTAATCGGTGATTTTCAGCTCCCATTTGCCAGTAATCAAGCAAGAGAATGACGTAAGGCTGCCATGATAATTAAACCGAGAATGCTGGAGAAAGTCTAAACCATTTATTAGATCATTGATCAGTGAAAATCTGAAGATCCAACTGAGGTCAATGTCAGAGTTTGCGAGCACATCAGCTAGGGATCCTTTGGCACAGTACTCTAAAAGCAAGAAACAATCTCAGTATATTCCCGCAACGCTGGCTTCAATCACATTACCCTCAACAACAAACGTGGAATGAGGCTCTGCACACAAGCCTACGAATTCAACAAGTTTGGGGTGTCTTGCACACTTCATCAATGCGACTTCTTCACGGATAGAGTCATCAAGCTTGAGCTTTCTGAACCCAATTTGCTTGATGAACACCGGTAAATTTCGACTGATTATATATCAATTTCTGGCGTTTCCACATATTACTAAATGACACTTACTGATAGCCAACAGTGAATTTGAGAGTGTAGTTTTGTTTTTCATATGGATGATCTGCTGATGACCGCGCGGTACTACAGGAACATACACTTAGTTCAAACATACAAGCCGACCGCATCATACACTACCTTGGGGATTTGGTGGAGTCACTTGGGGCTGCAAGACTTGAATCAAATGCGCTGCCTTGCTGATTTATTTGCTGCTGAAATGGAGACAAAGGGCTCGAATAATCTGGTGTAGTGAAGGTCGAGGCAATGTTCTCCGCATCAGGACCAATAAGTGGAACCTCCATCAGAGAAGATGGCACTGGCGACATGTGGGGCAACGAAGGATGGGTCAGTTTTTGATACGATAGCAACCAGGTCTCATCACTAATGTCATCGACAGAGCGTTTCCTCTTTCGCAGTAACCATATCAGCCAGCCTATGATAAGACAGACTATAACGATACCAATGGGTAAAAATATGGACATGTAGAGTTTCTTTTTGGCATCAGATTTCGACGCAAAATAATCTAGACAATGGTCATTGTGGCTACTGTCAGCTTCACCCTCTACACAGGTTTTGCATTGGTCAGATCCAATATCGGAGTAGGTGCCCCGAGGGCATGGTAGGCATTCGACCATATCATCAATGGGTGAATAGGTATTGGCAGGGCATTGGGCACAGCGAATGGATTTGATAGTATGACCAGCTTCATCCATGCAGTAGTAGCTCTTGGACAGCTCATAGTAGAATGTGCCTGGGGAACAGACAGAGGCGACTTTTGGCACTGATAAATATGTCAATTTCCATGGCTGGGCTGTCAATACCTTTGAGAAGAGCACGTCCAAGACTGATGTGAATCCCATTGAAAATGTGTTGAGGAACCAAAACTCCCTCACTCTCTTCTCCAAGTAGGCTTGAATTTGATCAAACAGGTCAGCAGAGGTAAACATGCGCGTTGAGTTGCTCAGATAACCCTTCAGTATCCGCTGTAGGGAAGAAGAGAGAGAGAGAGAGAGAGAGAAAAGGGTAAGAAAAGAATCAAGATCACTTTAAACTATCCACTTACAGAATTTATAGTTTCAAAAGTATATTCAGACATTGTAACATAGGTATCAGGACTGGACCCTGTTTCCGCTAAGCGAGCCAGAATAGCAGCAACTTCTAGATCCATTGAACTGTCGGTGGAGATATTCATATTGAAGGACGGTAATCGATCTACAGTCATGTTTCTTTGTGTTGCTAATGAAGTGAGTTCATTATAGAAACGGTCGCAAAGCCCACTCTGTTTCCATGGTGTAATCTCTGCGATGCATAAAGGTCGAGAATAGTTGTCATTCACCACAGTTTCTGCTATATTTCTAGAAAGATCAAATGTATCGAGAGCAATGTTGTGGATTTTTCTATATATAGTATGTAGTTAGATCAAATGGTCGTTCCTCTGAGTTCTGTGGTATTTACGCCGAGGTTGTGTGATTCAACTCCTCGTAAAAGGTGCCCATGGTAACCAGTGGTATACCAGACGCATTGGCTCTCAGCACGCTGTAGTTGAGCAAATCTTGGTCGCTGGTCTGCATCATGATTCCCGCTACATTTTCATTTACATAGTAGTCAATTTCCTGCTGAATTTGTCCTCTAAAACCTATGCAATTCGATTTAGCTTCGTCTTGAAATTGTGTAACTGTTCGAAGTTTCTTATTTTACCTAATGGACCTTGCTAGAATTGCACACATCAATTATGGTTAGCATGGTCTTAGTTTTTTTTTTTTTTTCTGTTTCGCTTCTTTAGTACAGATGCTTACCTCAACAATATTTAGGACTTCCCAGTTTAATTTTGTAGCTAAATCCTTGATTCCAGTCATAATAGCACCGTTGTATGTGTCGCCTTGAGCATTGGGTAAAATAGCGCCTATACGAGCTTCTTTGGCAGACAAAGGGATCAACGTGGATTGCTCGTTTTCGCGCACAAAAGAAAGGGTCTCATTGGTAACTAATAAGGGTCCGGTATTGATGGTTTGATTGTTGTACACATTGTGCCCTGTTGTAATTCTGAGGTACATTAAAAACACAGGTATAGCGGCTTGATAGTAGGGCAGCTGTGATATGCCAAATACATCCGGATGCTGATTCATAAGCCTTGTTAAGTTACGCCCGCCAGTGTCAAAGAAGGCGACACCCAATTTTCTAGTGCTGTTTCTACTCAATACATTCAGCGCTGCGCTACTGACAATATCTGTTCCAAGCTATTGGATAAAACTTAATAAGTCTATTATGTAATCTGCACATATCCATCTTACATAGCCACCTAGCGATATAATAGAGTCAAACGATGCGTGTTGTTCAAAATAGTTGGTGAGCTGGGCAATGGCCTTCTGAGTATCATTGGAATCAGAAATAGCCATCATTTCAGGTTCAAAGCCGAGTATTTCTGATGCACCTCGATAACGAGAAGAGAAGCTTGTACCCTCAATGTTTGTGAATTGTAGGACAAGCGGTCTATTGTACCCTCTATTCATTAGCTCTTTGGCAACGTATTTTCCCGTTTCAAAATTGTCAATCATCACTCGAGTAAGCCCTAGTTTCTTGGCGTAATCAAGGCCAGTATTGTATACAATAACAGGTATACGATGCGATATGGCATACTGCACTGCCTCTAGCACGTCTTCGTTTGGTATGGTAACAATGATGCCTTCTACTTTCTATAATTTATGGAGTCAGATACAGCCATATGTCATAGCATATTTTTCATACATTGTCTACAGCATCGTGGATATCAGCAATCATTTTAGAAGCTGAATTGATAAAATGTCGATTCCAATCAATCTGAACGTCCAAGATAGCAGCAGCATCTCTTGCTCCTTGCTCTGGGTTCTGCGCAAATGTACTGATGGCTGATTCGTGTGATATCACTGCAATTTTGGGACGCACATTGGGATCGTAGTATTGTGAAGTTGCGCATTGAGGTATGGACGTCTTTCGAAACGTGAATTGTGATGTGTGTCGAATTTGATTGAATACGAGGATTAGCAGAATAATGTAGAATTTTGGCATATTCAATGATGCATTGTATTTTCTTTCATATAAAATTGAAAAAAAAGAACGTAATGGATTATGAATCTGATGTGTTTAACCTGATGAAATAATTAGACTGAATGGTTTCATATTTCGGCAAATGTAATGTATAGGGAGTTTTCCTTAAATCTCTTTCTGAATCAAACAGTAATCCTAACATGAAGCTTTGGATGTGGTAGTCGGTCGATTAAGTATGCATACTGCTCAGAAACAAATGCTTTCAATAGATATATCTATGGGCTTCTACAAAACTACCAGATGTAACATTTTGCTGATGTAAAGATAGCGCCCAGCCACTAGCACATCATTTTCAAATAACAACACATTGAAATGTTTCCTAGATGCTGCATAGTTTCATACGCTGATCCGCATTATGGTTACGATAGATTGGATAATAATCCTTTAGCTCAAGGCAATTCACTAGATCACAATTAAACATATTCGTACTATAATAGTATACGTTTTTGATGTTTACAAGAAATGTCAAATGCTAATGTATTAGAATGGTTGTTTACCCACCAGGGCATAAAGAGAAGGAAATAAAATGGAAAATGCAACATAAATATATATATATACGAAAAGCAAAAGGGCATAAATAAATTAGGGTGAGAGCAAAAGTACTGAATACAATTGTTAGGTTTTAAACATAAAGTGCTATAAAGAGAATATGTGATACATGCAATGGGATGAGTAATGAATGTTTGAATCAGCTATGCTATCGTACATAGTATTAAATACGGGGTTTGAGGAGGGGGGGTTGTTATAATGGTTGATGTTGTAATATTCGAGAGGAAAGGAGTAGTAGTAAGGTGATGGTATTGTTATTGGATCAACCAATATCATTCTTGCCTTCTCTCTTCATAGTTGGATTTAGCTTTGACGCGAAGTTTTCTTCTTGATGATGCTGCTGCTACCAACTTTTGTAGATCTCATTTCACATTCCTTCCAGTTTCGATTTCCCATGTCTTGAGCAACAGCTTTCCAAGCTTGCTTGAATAACCTCGAGTTCTTTTTGATAGCCAACATCAAAAGACGATCCTCAGAATCAGACCATTCTCTCTGTTCCAATGACTTTGCTTGTAGTGTTTTGAAACGACCCCAGCAACAGCCTCTTGAGCGGTGAGGCAAATAGACGGTAGATATCATAGCCCATGATAGACCTTGAGAGTAGCCTTGTTGTAATAATTGATCCTCTTCAGAGGACCATGGAGTACGGGTTTGTGAATGTATATGACGATTGTTGTTGGTGCGTTGAGAAGTGGAACTAGTGTTCTCAACGACAGAAGCAACAGAAGCAGCAGTATGAGAAGGAGAAGAAGAAAGAACAGAAGCAGAGGTAGTCATGGGTGAGGATGGAATGTCAATTTCTGGGGATGAAGGAATTGAATAGTAAGACGAGCTGCTAGACGAGCTGGCTGGGCTGCCAGGAGATGAGGAACATGATGATGAAGACCAAGAAGGTTGACGCTGATGAAACTGAATGGGTGTTTTTTGTTCTGATGAGTACAGGTTGCTTGTTTCGATCGATTGTGGAGAGCACAATAAGCTTTTGATATCCATTTTAATAGTTGTAGTAGATGTGACGATTGTAAAGAAGATGATAATGATCAGATTCTTCAACGAGAAAAAACTCTATCTTTATATACTATTTTCATTTCTCTGGTGAGCCCCTTCCACGTACATGCTCTCCTCGATTGTTTGAGATCAGCCCAAATCATCCCACAATAGCTGCATCTGTCAACCAGACATCTTCCACAGTAAGCAAAAATAGGAGATGGATATATTAGACTAAATGCAAGGTTACACGAATTAATAGGATCATCATGTCAGATTTCATTGTGGACAGTATGCTACCTGTATCTGCGTTATGTGTGTGCATGTGTGTCAGTGTAAATGCCTATGTATATGGAATGATTTGGATACCAAAAGTCCTGGTTTATATTTGGATTACACAGGTATACATGAACGACTTCAAGTCTATTTTAGCCATTTGCCTAATATTCGAGAGGAGTATTGTCCTAGATGATAGCAGCTACAGATGGTGATGAGAATATAGATGATGATAAAGTAAATGACAATATAGTGTGTTAATAAACAACATCTCCTATTACGCATTATATTCAATTGGTCATTCTATCATAGCATCCTGGACCTGCTTTTCTCTTGCAAACAAGTAAGCCTTACTTGCAATGTTTTTTTTACCATAATAGTTCATTAATCCGACATGATTTTTTCATGTATGTAATCATGGTCTGTTTTGCTATTTAATAGCCTTGGTACTACACTAGAATCCCTATTTCTTTGCACTTAGTTTTTGCTCCACGTTTGCAAAAGGAGAAAACAATAGGAAATGGGGGAAACTATGGAAATTAGCAAGCTGAACAGATAAGCAATCTTTGTTCCATGAGAACCCTTCATCCCAATCTCGCTCGCTTGCTTCACGTTGTCAAGGGGATGAGGGGACCTTGATTCTCTCTCTCGCTTTTTCATTTCGATTTGTATGTTTTATTATTTTAAAGGAGTAAGGAAATAAAGTGCCTCCTCGCGATTCAATCTACTTCGTTCCATTCCATACTCCTCTTCGACCTGCATTTGCTGGTGCTACTGCTATCTGCTGCTGTTTCTGCTCGCTGCCTGCGGGATATGAGTGCTTCTGCTTTTACTGTTGAGATGTTTGTTCAATCTGTAACTAAGCACGTTGAATGTAAAGAAAAACGCGCGTTGGCCCCGTTTTTATCAATATTCTTGTGCATCTTTCCTGTTTCTCTAGTCATGCTAGCATTAAAACCAATACAGTATCAACATTCTCGAATCAGAATTTTATTGACATTTAAGTCATCTAATCCAAGGGAATGCCTCGTCGTTTATGCAAAATATAAAGAATAATTACTCTTCTTGGTGGCCTATACAGCTTGTAAGAATGACACTCTGTTTAGTTACCATGGAAACCTCCACTAGAGTTTTTGCCTTAGGCCTTGGTAACATGGCAACAACCATGATAATCGCTGCCCTTCCCTAATCTTTTGGAATTATTATAATGTTGCGCCTATACATGATGCGTATGTGTGTTTTTGCTGTTACAATGGTCCCCTATACAATCTCTAACCAGCACAAAAAAGAAAGACCACTAGTCTCCTAAAAACACAAGGATTAAGATCTAGTAATGGATACACCGTCCACGTTTTGATTTTATTTTGATAATGCTTAGAAAGCATGTTTTGTAGCGTAGGAGACGGAGGTTAGGCATGATCATATTTTAATAAACCGCCATTTTTATTGCAAATGTTGCTGTATATGTACCTTGTTCAAATTGTAAAACGCCCAGGCTTGGTTATATGTATCTACACTCATGAGTATATATGCAATATTATTACTAATTCTCTAATACAAATTCACAAATTTCACAAACGAATGCAAGGTCAATCTTACATTTTAATAATGTAATATGACATTCAGGGAGAATACTACGAACATAGAAGAAGCTCGGATGACATGCAACAAGGGGATGAGCAGGAGGAGAGAAGCACACACAATAAGTATATTTCCATTAATTTCTATATCCATGAAAATGATCCTGATTTAGGAGATCGCTCAATGTTTATTCAGGGTCTGGATATCCGTGCATACACCTTATTAAGTGAGCCCGTTTCATTAGTTTAGAAGACGAAGAGATACATTTTCGTCACAGAATAGGTGTAGTAACATTATTTCCTTTTATACCACAATATGTCAAGCCATTAACTCAAAATATCAACAGCTGTAGACTCTACCAGAGTGATAGTCTCTACATTTCATAGAAATAATTTGCTGTACACATTTGCCAATGATGCATGCGTACAATCTAATGATGTAAAGTGTCCTGATTTCAATGAAAACACAATGCAATAGACGTTTCCTTGCTGGGTAATCAAGATCACACATAGCAGGTGTATTTAATGATTTCTTGACGCCAAACCCTAAACTTGAATACATGCATACATAAATGCTCAAAACAGGGATCACTGCTGCTGCTACTACTGCTTGGGGTACAAACAATGAGCTTAGTAATGCAAGTTTTTTGCAATGCGATCTGTGGGCTAATTGGCGCATTGCACAATGGATGATGTTTGATACATAACCTTGACTCTTCCTCCCTTTGCTACCCTGTAGAGCCATGCTTTCTGGTGTACGTTGAAATTACAGCCATGACCTGTAGCATACTATCATTGCTATGGAAATTCTCTACATGTAACGCATCATAATATATGAAAGAAGCTTCAGCAACTTAATTACTTGCTTACCTTGAGCTGCATGGTTGCATTAGTAAGCAAGTGTTCCCAGGCCTCCGCTTTGAGTAATGTATCATAGCTACTGCTGCTGTAGAATGACCTCTTACTACGCTGGGTGTCTAGGTACTTGCTGCGAAAGGCAAAGGACCCCTCCCACTTGCAATATGCCTTGTGATTCATACGTTTAATAACTGCCATGATGGACAAATGCCATTCCCCTACTTACAATATAGGACTCGAAGCTGTTTCTCCTATCTATTTAGTTCCCTTTCTGCTGCTGTAAAGCGATGGCTTGCTTGTTTTCTCCCTTTTTCTTCGCTTGTTCGCAAATCCCGGCGATTTTGCTCGAATTGTACTTCTCTCGATCATTTGTATATAAAGCCTCCTTCCCTAATAATTTTCTGAAAGGGATGATGTGCTCTCCTTGCTATAATAATCACTTGGGAATACCTTTTTGGGTCTTATTACCGAATTCATGTCATTCCAACAAGCACTTGCATTCATATGAATGTTTTGATTACATTAATAACGTTTCGCTAGCGACTACTCTAGCTATATGAAAGTCAAAGCACCACTTACTATAATGGTATGTTATTCATGCACTGTAAACATGAATGCCACGTTGAATCCATCACAAAAACGTGTTGTCTTGTTTACCCAAAGCTTCGGTGTTGAAATCATAAATGTCAAGAAAAGTCGTATTTCAAAACCATCGTTCAGGGCAGCAAACTTAAACTTTTAATTCTTGGGTGTAATTGTCCATTTAGTCTTTCTCATAGACCAATGCTCTCCAACGTGTTCCAGAGCAATCAAATTACCAAAGCATGTTTTGCGCTAGATTGGCTAGTAAGATTAAAAAAGCTATATTGTGCATGAAAAACACAAGTTTCTCTCACATGTAGACTACCAAGAACAACAAATGTTCCTTGAATTTTTACAAATTTTGTTTAATGAAATAGAAGAAAAAAGCAAAGATGAATGTGTGTATTGATAAACGAAGGAGTCTAGATTAATATTTAACAAGTTTGTGTTTTGATTGATTTACTCGATTTGCTCAACTTGACCATTGTGATAATAGCTGATCAAATCAACGCTGAACTCAGCAAGTTGATGGTAGAAGAGTTTACAGAGATGAGCTTGATTTGTTGAAAGAGTTTCACCTTCCATACAGATGGTATAAGGAACAAGCAATGTAACAATACCGTTCTTCAACACAGTGGGCATACCGAGCGATCTGATAAGAGGCTCCATGTTGTGAGGCATGGGATCAGCTCCACGCTTGACAGGTCCTTCAGGAAGTGTGATGGTTTGAGTAGCGATAGCTCCTGAACGAGCATAATCAGGCTTAACAAATTCAGCGAAATATGTCTTTACTTCCTCTGGTTGCTTGTTGGTGAAAAGAAGACCGACTTCACTTGACAATTCCTACATTAACGTAGATCCATATCAATCATCGGATCTTCACATATTCCAATCCCTATAGTTACCTTGGCAATAGCAGATAAGCCTTCCTTGTATTCCTCTTCAGCAGTTGTACCAAGAGCCTTGGCCATGACACGATTCTTACCATAAAAGAAACGAGAATCTTTGAAATCATGACGGATCTCCTTGAGATATGTGTTACGCATGTCCTTGACAGAATACAAGTACAAGTAGTCATAGTTATCAACACATTCATGAATCTATTTGGCCAGTTGATTAGCATGATAGATCCTTTCCAATACAATAATGCCCATTTACATCTTCGATCAATTTCTCCTTTCCTTCACGACCCTTCTTTTCAGTTTGAGTTAAAGAAACTAAAGATCAGACAATTGAGTTAGCGTTTTGACTGCTTGAGTTGGAGAGGGTCATATCAACTTACCAACGGTACTACGCTTTGACTTGGGCATACTATATAGATATTTTGATACTTAAATAAGAAAAGGGATTTGACGCTTTGTTTTCTATCAAACTTTTTTTCTAAACTCTCGAAAAGCTTGATTTTTGCATCCGTTTTTACAGTCACCAGAAGGAGGGTAGAAAGTCACCATGATTCAAGCTGTGGCTGCCACCGACTAGTATAATGCAGCTCATTTCATCGAATTGTGATCAGTGCAGAATATTTAATAGTTGTCATGGCAACCAGATACGGCTGTGATAGCCAGTGCTTCTTCAGATATGATGAATACCCTAAAGATTAGAGGAAAAAAAGCTGGAATTGAAGAACATGCCATGCAGTGTCGAATGCAGATCTGTTGACAAGAGTATGCTGTGATATGTATAATATGTACATTTTATTCATGGCTTAAACAATGATATGTTTTCTTGCCCAAATGCTCAATCGATTGATGGGCTTCTTCTTTTGATCCTTTTGTATTTCTTGATGCGGTATGATATTGGACGGGATGGATAAATCAGATATAGATCGTTTCATCATGCTATGTTCTATTACATTATTGTCGCAAGTTGCAATGCTGTATAAGTCACTAGGATAGCTATTGGTTCTTGGAAATAACGATGGTGTCAATGCATGGTGATCAACCTGTTCTTGTTCTTGTTCTTCTTGGCTATATACAGTAGAAGACGCTTTCTTTTTTAGCAGGTCCCATTGGGAATATTCTTCTTCTAATTTGAATGGTGACAGAGGTATAATGGGTAAATCAAACAATGCACTGGTTGCTTTTGCTGTCGTAATCAGCTGTGCATTGTCATCGTTGTTGTTTGTAAAGAATGGGTGGTTCAATGCTTCTGATGATGTGATGCGTTTGTAAGGATCAAACTGTAACAATTTTGATAGCAAATCGAGGCCATCGTTTGAGATTGGGTGAGGCTGTAATACAGATGAGAGGCAATCAATTCTTGGTGAAATCTAGAACTTCAAAATTTAGGTTATGATTAAAATACTGTCCCTATTTCTATACCTTTGGAAATTGAAATCCCATTTTCTGAGCTAGCTTGACTCCATCTTTCCATTCACCACCGATACCTGTATAGATATTGACTAGAGGCGATGGTATCTTTTGATGCGTCAATAGCTGATGATAGCTCTTTTTTCGTGACACAGTTGAGGTTATACCAGGACTACCGAGGACCTGACATATTCTGAACAACTGATCAATCTCTGATTGTCCTGGGAACAGTGGCCTTAGGGTCACCAGCTCTGCAAAGATAGTACCCACAGCCCATAGATCAATGGGATAAGAATAAGCTGGGGATTTCAGTAAGATTTCTGGTGCTCTATACCATCTGGTAGAGGTGTAAATGGTGTACGGAGGCTTTGATTTTATGCTTGTTGCTAGCCCAAAATCAGCCAGTTTTACCAGCAAAGTGTCATTATCGTAAGATATCAATATATTTTCTGGCTTCATGTCTCTGTGAAAGATGCCTTCAACATGATGAATATGGTGTAGTCCAGACAAGACTTGAAACAAAATAGTTTTCACTTCGTGGGTCTGGATGTTGTCAAATGCTTCTTTTCGATCCTTGATGAATTGATACAAATTGCCGCCATTCATGTATTCCATGACAAAGTAAAAGTCTTTGGTGGTATCAATAAATGTTTCGTACAGCTTTACAATGTTTGGATGTGCTGTGAGCTTCTTGAGAGTGTTGTATTCTTTAATGTGGTCGCCATTTAGCTTCTTTTTCATAATCTTTATGGCTACCTGAGATATCATATTAATATAGTGATCTAGGATGTGATAAGGACAGAGCTACTCACTATTTTGCTGGATGTAATTTTCCTTGCTTTGTGAACAGATCCAAACGACCCGTCGCCAATCTGCTTTAGTAGTTTGTAGTGTATTAATGGCGATTCTTTTCTTGGTTCCATGATCTTGTAAGATAGGAATACAGATGGAAAGAGAAGCCAAATAGGCGCCTTTTCAATCTTTATATGGATGCTAAATTGCCATACATTTTCGGAGCTGCCTCTATCCTTTCACAGAACATGCACGCTTTACATTAACTACTACTGTAGCATCCATGTTTCTCCTTACCATGATTCCACTTTGTAAAATAAAGAAAAAAAACATGACAATTTCAAAGATGGATGAGAATACCCCCTTTTCTGTGTGTGCTATTTACGTTGCTTGTGTGTGATAACAAACCCTTAAAAGCATCATCATTTTTACGCCCGTTTACAGGATGCACATTTCGTTTATTAATTTCAGCGTCATTGTACTGGCTTGGCCCTTCTATAGAATACTTCGAGCAAATTGGAATGTCCTTAATTAGCTGAATTAAATCCTTCCTTTCAATCTATGGGTTTAGAGGATCTACATTTAATCTTTGAGCATTTGATTTCTGTTAATTAATGAGGCATTGGATGCTAAAAATATTGTACTTGTGTGCCTGAACATCAATTCAAACAGAGTTTCAATAATATTTAGCAATACACACACCGCGGATCCTAGATACGTTTCTGAGAGATGAATTACAACCGAAGATTGGTATGGAGAGACACGTAAAGCAATTAAAAGGGCCTTTTGAGAACCCTATTTTCAGATTAGACGTTTTAGAGAATTACCTTACATTGGTGTTTCTTGGTACAAGCCTCTATAAACTATAGCATACGGAATTTGAACAAATCTACACTCTCAATGCATTGGTAGATCTGTATGAAGAAAGACTTTAATTGCCCATGTTTGGAGTATGCATCTGTAAAATTACTCGCAATCACCATGAAATGCTTTGTTATATGTATCAGTGTCTTAGCCTTGTTTACGTTGGCACAAGGTTTTCCCGTTTGTAAGTACCAAAGATCCCTTCTGTGGTGCTCATAATGATCCACAGCGGCTGGATGTGCCATTATCACATGCTTATCTTGGACAAAAGAAATGTGAAACCTCGCTAAGCATAAGTGGTCTATTGGCAGTAAATAATTAACTGACAGCAGCTAAATTGATATTACTTAACAGTATTACTTATAGAAGCAGCGATGTAGTTGGTGTAAGGCTTTACGCTCATGAACTGGCTAGAGTACGTGATACTGTTTGTTTACAACAATTAGATTCCATAAATAAAAAATGTATACAGTAAGCAAAAAAAGGTATAAGGGCCTAGTGGAAACGCTATTAGATTTGTGATATTCTTCTTAAAAGCCTCTAACATCATCCATTACCTTCCTATTAGAATGAGAAAAATCTCATCGTCAAACAGCAGTAGCCAAAAATTACTTTAATCTTCGCTCAATATACTGACCTGATTTGTTAAATTTGATAAATCTGCAACTTGATTGAACTCTTTTGCCAGATTCGACTATAAGAATATGATAATCATCCCTTGCTTCTTTAAGCTTTCTTGGAGTGCTTTTTAAGGCGCTTCCAATGATACCAAGTAAGATCGATGTTTTGAATAAAATTACTGAGTAATTTACGAAAATATGAAAGGAGGTTTCTGGCCAAAAAGTAGAAATTTTACATATCAAGGTTCCAAAAAGATGATTTCAGGGGTTACGTTAGATCGATAGAAACATTTTGATTTAATATATCACCACTAGCCCTCGTTCAACAGCTGCAGTGGCCCAAATCAAGCTCGGGGCCTTACGCCGTTTCTGGCATACATCTTTTGCTTTGCTACGTGGCCCAGCCCACCCTCCAATGTCTCGTCCTCCACATCTCTTGCTTCCTCCTCGCCTCTGGCGTGATTTCTGGTCTCTCTGTCTTCCCGCCAAGGTATTTACACCTTGTGGCGGCTGCTACATGGGCACCTCTCGGTGCAGACTCGCCTATACAATATCAACCGTGTCAGGCATCCTTCCCCTTTATGTAAACTGTGTACTGAGGCACCTGAAGATGAATACCATATGGTCATAGGCTGCGGTATGAAGTCCCTCTTCTGGTATGAGGTTATCTCCCACCTTGGTCTCACAGATCTGTTCCCTACGGACGATGCCATTTGGATTGAGCTGACTACCCTACATGATCAGGAGCACAATCTGTTAGATATTTCCATCTTGGAACTTCTTGGAGCCGCTTTCTCGTCTCTTTGGCAACATCATTGGGGCTGTACCCTTGAGGGTAAAGCATGGCGTACGCGCATAGTTTTCTACTCTTTTTTTGAAGATCACTCTAAGTTGATTTCTTCTTTCTTAGACATGTAGGTATCCTCTCGGATATCCTGATATCTATAATATCAATAAAAACCACTTTTAAATACAATTTTTTTTCGATTTAATATGTATCATAGTAAAAGTCTTCGTTATCAAGGTCAAAAACGCGATCGTTTGATTTTCAATGAAAACCATGAGGGGTACCTCATGCTTTTTGGCCGATTTTTGACCATGATTTTTTGGTCCCCAAAAAGTTGAGCAAAGGCGTCATTAAGTAACTGCCAGATGAAAGCAGTTGTTTGGTACTGTTCTAGCGGCTCAAAAAAGTATGTAACCCGAGAAATTACTGGTCGAATATACCCAGATTTTGCTGGGTATTGCATATTTTTTAGTAGTAACAGGTAATGCGAGTATGTTGTTTGTCTTTGTGTGTCCTGTTTCTATCGATGCAAACGTGGAGCATTACAGGAAAGGCAGATCCACATCTACAGATCGTTCATAGAGAGTTCTTGTGTTAAATTGGGAATGGCAAAAAGTGAAATGTCGTAGAAATACGCTTCAATATCCAACCAACTGCGAAGCATAACATGATTTTCAAATCTCAATTTTGAAGCTTGATTCTTTGATGCGTAACACCTAAACTCTTTCTTTTTGGTATGCTATTCGACACTAACGAGCAAAGCGGTTTCATGCCTTACATGAACACTAAACAAATTACTCCATCATGATGACTTTCGTCTAGAAAAAAAATGGTGCCTGTATTTATAAAGCTTAGTTTCATTGATTTTGCTTATCAGATGATATTTTCAGTTTCCTGCTTGATTGACATTTGCTTATAATGACGGCATGCTGTTGTGTGCCACGCTAGCGAAACTTGAGGCTATAAATAGAGCCAGAATATGGGATCAAGCTTCCTACAAAAATCAACAAGAAAAAAAAAAATGAACTCATCTCCCTCAAAAACTGAAGCTAGAAAGGACCAATACGTTGGTGATGCCAAGCAAACTGTTGGTTCTGCTGTAGGCAATGATCATCTCCAAGCAAAAGGTCAAGCACAAAACAACGATGGTTTAATTCAAGAAACTACCGCCAATGCAGCCAATCTTGTCACTGGTGTCGTTAATGGTGCTGCAGGAACTGTTCAAGGTGTCCTTGGTGGTCTCTTGGGCGGTAACAACAACAACAGATAAAGGCTTATTCTCCCTCTATACCTTGTACATAAATAAACAACTGTTTTATTCGACAAATTAATGCTTTTTGCACCCATGACATGCTCCTTTCCATTCACTTCCATCTTGATACACCTCTTTTTTCCAGATCGGACATCTAAATTTGAGTTCGTCTATAAGATAGCGTGCTGCATCCATGGAATCAGCTCTGTGCTTGGAGGATGTAGCTACTACCACACTGACTTTGCCGACGGGCACGATACCGGTTCGATGATATATCGCTATATGCTTTAAATCCCATTTCTCTCGAGCTTCTTGAATCAATTCTTTCAACACTTTCTTTGCCATGGGTATATACGCTTCGTATTCTAATTCGACTACTGCTTTGTCTATCAATATTTGTGGCTATGAGTATGATTAATCATCGAAAAACAGTTGAATGATGAACCTTCAAATGTGTCTCTCGTTGTACCAGAGAATGTAGTGATAGCTCCAGCTCCATCGTCTTGAACTAGTCCAGATATATAGTCTAGTGCCGGTAATCCTTCAGCAGATATCTCTATAATGTCCCTGCAAGCCATTTTAAGTTGATGTGTGCAGACAAGAAGAAAGAGAGAATTGCATTTGATGGCGGTTTCTTAAATAGTCTCAGATCCTCATTGAAATGTAGTACTCATAATGGCTGGGAATTGTTGAAATCAAACAAATTTGTAGGCATACTATGAGTAAAAGATGGAGCCATACGCTGAGGCTATCTCAATCCATCTCTACTCGCAAGATCACCCACAAGGACGCTCTAGATCAAGAGAATATTGGATCCCCCTGCTTCATGTGAACACCAAACTTGTCAATACCGTCACAGATATAAAGGGACATAAGCTTTAATTTCGCATTCTTTGTCTCTTTCTTAACATTATTACCACTTTGCAATGATGCTTCTAGGTAGAAAACGCCCACACAACGGCAAACCTATAACACAAACGTAAGGCAGCATTATGTTAATTTACGAGTCTTTTGCTAACATACCCTGTCTTATTGTAGTGCGATTGTAGATACCAAAAGCCAGTTGAAGGAAACGGTAATGAAGCGATGCCCAGGTCTCGACAGCTCAACATACTGATACGCAGCTATAGAGATCCAAGGAGGTCATGGACATATTCATGCAACAAACTAAACTCACACCTACCGAGAATAACCTACCCACAGCGAACTTAAGACAGGATGCCAACATGTCCTCTTATAAGACCACCACACTATCCAAACACTCAGAGGATGTCCAATTGATTTGGTCCCTGGCCATAGCACTTACTCAAGCAAATCAAGCAGCCTCCGTCAAGAAATGGATGCGTGATCTTGTTCAGCCAGGCCTCGAGAACCAACTGAAGCGTTCACAGGAACTCTACGTTAATGATCCATTTATCACCACATTTGTCTACATGACATTTGGACAAACAGACGCAGCGAGTGAATCAGCACAAGCACAGAACGACTTCAATTTGGCCATGTTTATTATTCATTCAGAGACCAAAGATACCACACAAGTCGTTCAGCAACAGATTTTGGATTTCAAGGCAAACGGACAATGGCAGACAATGACAGTGTTTCACAAAAAGTGCTGGTATGCTGTTGCTGGCGATTTGGGATACATGGCAGCCGATGATTTCGCGGTGACAGAACGTGTTTATTGGCAATGTGCACTGGGCATGTACATTTGGTTTGGCACTCGACATGGCAGCTTTGATCTGAGTCGATACAACAAAGCGCTGGATGACCGCACAAGCTCCAACATCAATCAGTTCAAGACAACTAAACACACCGCAGTGCCAGATGTTCGATGTCTGTGGTACCAGCTATTACAGTGGTGGATAGGCAATGACAGAGTTGCAAACATTGACGAATGGCCATTGGATTTAGTGTGGCTGTTGACTTTGTACAAACAACCGAACACAATGAACGAAACGTACGCCTTGAGATGGATTGAGTATCTGGAGACGCAAGATATGGCAGAATTAGCCATCTACGCCACATTTTTTTTGAAGAGGTAAGTTGTAGAGTAGGAAAGTGGTGCTTCAAGGTGTATTCAAGTCATATTTACTACACAGGCCAGCAGAAAAGTTGAACCACATTTTGCGTGAATGTGAGTGGAGCAACGAAGCCAAACTGATCAACAGCTACCACATACCCAGAAAGCAGGTTTACGTTGCCAAAGCACTGAACGCACATGATTCCTGGGACTACGAAGGCGAATTCAGATGTTTGATCCAAGGCGGACTAAAGGAACAGGCGAAAATGGCATTGTTGCACTTTCTGCTGCCAAAGATATATGATGGTAAATATGCCTATTAATTTTCCAGTGGATCATTTTTGTACCAACACTATTTACATTAGATAGCGACACTGCTTTGACAAAGAGTATACACTTTCTATCCGAGATGCCAAATCCTGACGAGGACGACGACATCAAGACATTGACAGACACATACAGAGCGCTCCTCACCAAAGACAATATGGAGCATGCTGAGCGCTATATTAAAGAGCTACAGCAACTGCAGCAAAAGTATAAATCAAAAAATTTGCACACGCTGTTACAAGGATTGATCGAGTCATTAACGGACCACATGTAATAAAGAATTTATTCAATATCTTGGAGAATTGGAAACGTATTTCTTGTAAGCCAAGACGATAGCGACACCAGTGACCAATCCCTTGTAAAAATTGACAGCGGCAGGAGAGGTGAGCAAGTTTTCTGCTTCTTGAATCTTTGGCCCAGCTCTTCTCTTGAGATCAGCTAATTCAGCCTTGAGCTTGTTGACTTCTTCCTCTGCTCGTTGGGCTGCTCTGTCAAAATCTTCGTTGGCATTGTCTAATTTCTTGTCAACTGCTTTGGCAGCGTCGGAGGCACCTTCTCGAAGTGTGTTTTCGATTTCATCAGCCTTCTCAGAGGCTTTGGATTTGTTATTATTGTGAGCCATCGCGTTGTACTAACTTGTTTTTAAAAAAGAAAAATATACATTTGTTTATTGTGCTTTCAATTTATACGCTCAAGAGACGAACAACCAAAAAAAACATCCTCGCTGAATTATCTAATCTTTTTCTGAGACATGTCGACTATAGCTTTAATGCACGTAGTCTCTCTTGACAATAGCATTGAATGTCTCTGCGTTAAAGGCGTATTCCTTGACAAATTCAGCTTCCATTTCATGCATACGAGAGCCGATCAAGACAAGTGAATGAAGAGGGCCTCCGAAATCGACATCAACCAGCTCTTCCAATGTACCAGCCACAATCTTTTGGGTATCTGTGCCAATACGAGCACAACCAATTGCTAGTGAATCAGGTTTGCAAATGCCCTCTTCACGCTTCTCCTCAATCTCCAAAAGCTGCTCGACTGCTTGATTGACTGTCATGTAGCGAGGAGGCTCGTAGATCAAACGACCTCTGATAGAGACATGTCAACAAACACACTCTCCAGACCCTCTCTACTATGCTACTTCTTACCTTGCCATGTTTTCGATGCTTTGCTCCTTGACCTTGATGTCCAATAAACATAACGTGTGAAGGCCGAACTGATGATTCTCCTTGACACGATCGTAGAAACTGTCAGGACGCCATGTCTCTGTAAAGAACACAATGGAGATAGTTTGTCCAAAGTTGTATAATTGAAGACCACAAGCACCAATGGCATTCATGATGGAAGCATTGTGAATGACCTTGACGGGAATGTTCATCTCGCGAGCACGGATAACAAGATCAGTGTGAGTGGTGGCACTATAATAAGAGTCAGTAAACGTCCATGCTGAAAGCTCTATACAAATACCCATAAGGATCACCAACGACCAAGAAGGAGACATCTACCTTGTCAGCATTGGCGAGAATGGTATCGCTGTCAGATTCAACCATCTCACGATCGGCGACAACAACATCCTTGCCATAGTACTCTTCCAATTTCTCTTTACCGACAGTCAAAATGGAGGTATAAGCTTCGAGATAAATACGCTCGGAACCCTTGACGGCCTCTAATCCAGCGACAGTGATGTCCTTCTCGTCACCTAGACCAAGACCCACAACGTACAACATAGTAGTAATTAAAGCAAAAGATGAATTAAACTTTTTTCTTTTGGTTATTGCTATCTAATTTAAGAACCTTTACAGTAGTCACTGCCGAATGTATTGGATTCGAGGATGTGTGCAATAATGCCTACAGTCATGCTTTTGATTATAGCTAATGGTAGCAACTATAAGAAAGCAGCTTGTCTATCAGAAGAGCGTAGCCAAATTTGCATTTAGGTTGAGGCATTTTATTTCATGATATCTCTCTCACAATCCTATCGAAATGTTTCTCAACATTTGATGGCTAAATCATACATCCAACGCTTAGGTAAGTTAATTGTGAGGACTTTGCTCAGTCTAAATGAACATTTTATGCTAAAATCATACAGTATGACCACATTGGCATGCACTCTCCAGGGTAGATCACCAATGTTTATTTTGAATAATAACGCAAGACCTGTCAAGCTTCCTTGAGTTCATGAGATGACAACAAGCCACACATTCTAAACTGTCACGAAGTGCTTGATTTTTTCATTAAAAAGCTGTATCCGCAACTCTATTAACGTCTTCTCTTTCATAACACTTACATATAAATACACAATGGCACCTGCTATCAAAAAGGAAGACGAAAAGCCAGTTGCTGTTGATCAAGGCGATCAAATGGATGTCGATGAAACATCTGAAGTCGAGGAACAAGAAGAGGAGGAGGAAGAGAACTCGGACGAGGAAATGGATGAAGAGCCTGACTTGGTTGTTAGTGCTGATAAAATTGAAATTGTAAGCACTGACCAATACATATCAACAAGCTGATATTTACAGTGCATTATTGTAGGTTGGAACTCATGGTGATCCCACTGCCATGACCTTCTGTTTCAAGGAAGAAGATCACACTCTTGGTAACGCACTGAGACATGTCATCAACAAAAAGTAAGCGTCATGTTGAGTACAAGGTAGTATCGACTAATGAACCATTTGGGTATAGCCGCGATGTCGATTTCTGTGGTTACTCTATTCCTCATCCTTCAGAAGCCAAGATGAATGTTCGCATTCAAACAACAGGTAAAAAACATCTGTCTGCAGTATTTAAAGTGCAAGGAATTGACGCAACATTCGCTAGACAACACAAATGCGATAGACGCTTTGAAGACAGGCCTTCAAGATTTGTACGATATGGTTGCCCATGTCCGTGAAGCATATGTCGAGGATTTGGAAAAGAAGGAGTATGTCGAATTCGAGGAAGTTGCATAGAGTGGAAACAGCAAACAAGGATATCTTAGTTTCCTTGACATCAACACAGAAAACGATCATTGTTATTTAGAGCTCGATATCAGATTATTATTACACATTACACCCATTGACACACAACAACACATCAACACTGTCATTGCAGCGACTTTTTTTTTTTTACTGTTTTTGACACTATGAATAAATAAAGTTTTGAAAAGCAACCTTTGAATGTAGGGAAAACCAATGTATATTCAGTGGCAACTATAGTAATAGGAAGATCAAACCTGGAGCCACCATGATGATAGACAGAGGCTAACTGGTTCTTATTGATGCATATGCTTTTTCCCGATTGCATTATTTTTGTTGCTTTGCCAGTGGAGGAGCACCTGATTTCAATTGTTCCTATTTCTGCCATCTGTCATGATTGCTGCCGTCGACGAGATAGAATATAGTACGCAGGCCGATCCTTTGGCTGATGACACTTTCCTTGAGCCCACTATACTCACTCTGGGATCAAGCTCTGTAGCATCCGATATTGGTACGCGAAAGAATTTTGAGGATAGGCTTCTACCTAATGTAAATCCTATGTCTGCTCGGTGTTGACACGTTTGTCTCTCTCTTGTACTGCGTCATATTCAGTATGAATTCCATATTATCCAACAGTTTCAATTCAAAGCATTGTGCGTAATTTTTTTGTGGAAGCATATAATATTGCTCGTCTTTGACATACGTGAATCGAAAACATATTTCGATGCAAAGTGTTTTAGGATTTGAGCCAGCACACTCAAGCAATTGATGTCCACTTCATTGCTCAACGTTGGTAGTATTCACGCTTTGAGTACGGCCAAAGGCGTTCATCGATGCAATGAATAAGGTATTGCTATTTGCACTATCCAAATTTCTATTTAGATCATAATTAGTCACTTTATAGACGCCTTCCTGGTACAATTGTCACTAATTTTGAGGGAGGGAGAGAGAGACAGAGAAAAGGCTCCGATATCCAGCGTTTATAAAGTAATGCTAAGAAAAGAGCATGATGCAAGTTTACATCTGCCTAATGCTGATTAAATAAGCCATATTTTCTTTGCTACTGCTGATGCAATTGCTCTAAATTCATTGTGATCTGCCGGGTAACGCTCTTCAATTAGAGAGAATAATAAAGATGTTTTGAGACCAATACACTGCTCCTATCGTGAGGCTCCTCCATTCCTGTCGTCAAGAAAGATATCTATTTTTACAATGTCAATGCTGAACCAAGAACAAGTTAACTCAAACTGTGGAAGTACAACACGGATACCAAGACATGAGCCGAGCTCGCTGAATTGCTACTCGTAAAGCGCTGTGATTTACTTGCCACAGCAACGACAAAATGTACTTTATAGGCGCTAATAATGATGGCGTTCTAAGGAGTATTATCTATACCCACAATCTGGCTACTGACTACTGGGAAGATGTCATATCTAATTCGGAAAACGCATAACTGCAAGAAAAATTGTTTGCCACTATACGCATATATCCATGATTGACGATGAGATATAAAACAAAGCGAACATGTACGGCCCAAGTTCCAAATAACTAGTATAAATGTTCCCTAGACACTTTTAAAGCCTCAAAAGGAAAGAAGTTGATATGTCAAGTATTTTGATAGACTGGCTTTATTAAATATAAGATGCAATAAAAATAGCATGGCTAACAATAGCGTTATGTAATTTGCCACCTTCTTCCCATACGCTTCAAAAGCATCTATTACTGTATTGCCTTCATGGCTTAAAGGGCATTGGGTTTGTCAGCCAGCCCCACCAGCAGCCAGCCAAAATTAATTTAAACCCAGAATATTTTTTCTGTTCAAAATTGGACAGATTTTGATAGTTTTTCGACTTGATTGAACTCTTTTGTTTGTCCCTGAGGCGATTCTGGTACATATCCACTCCACTGTCCGACAGACAGTGGATGAAGATCAAATCCATTCCCTCTTGTAATTTAGATAGTTAGATAGTTCCTTTTGTTAGTTTAGTTTAGTTTCCATTTATATTTATATTTTTTTCATTTCTCAATTGCACCCGCCTCTTCACTCTGACCTATTACTCTTAGTGTACGCGGCTCAATCAATAAACACAATTTAAAAAAAAAAAAAAAATGAACTCTTTTGCCAGATTCGACTATAAGAATATGATAATCATCCCTTGCTTCTTTAAGCTTTCTTGGAGTGCTTTTTAAGGCGCTTCCAATGGTGCCAAGTAAGATCGATGTTTTGAATAAACTTATCGAGCAATTTATGAAAATATGAAAAGAGGTTTCTGGCCAAAAAGTCGAAATTTTCCATATCAAAGTCCCACAAACATGATTTCAGGAGTTACGTTGAATCGATAGAAACATTTTGATCTTATATATACCATAGTAAAAGTCTTCGTTATCAAGGTCAAAAACGCGATCGTTTGATTTTCAATGAAAACCATGAGATACCCCTCATGCTTTTTGGCCGATTTTTGACCATGTTTTTTTGGTCCCCAAAAAGTTGAGCAAAGGTGTCATTAAGTAACTGCCAGATGAGAGCAATTGTTTGGTGCTACTCTGAAGATCTAAAACGGCTTTGAGCGCGAGAAAAAACAGCTCAAATGCAATCAGATTTTGCTGTATCAGGGATCCTAAGGACTAAAAAGGGGAAATACCTGTATGATACTGGCCCGTATATGAAGCATCTACGCGTATATAGATGTAGAGCATCACATAAGAGTCAGGTCCACAGATAATATATAGGGTTTTTATGTGTACGTGAAGGGTCAAATGACAGTAGCAATGTTTTGAAAAGATACGGTAGCGCGAGCTGCTGATGCGCAGTTTGGTTCTTACCGAAGCGAAGCAAAGGTAGAGAGCCACCCGAAACATAAACACTCGTATGTAATGAATAAAAACAGGCTTTTTTTTTCTCAGAGCGACGTCAGTGTTCTTATAGAAATAGAGCTTACCAAGTTGACAGACGTTTGGCCATTATGACGATCCTATTCATTCATCTAGTGATTTTTGCCCCACAATCTATAAACACTGACTTTCAATACCACCACTAAACCCTGGTGAAGCAAGATAATTTGATAGAGGGGTAGAAAGACAGACAGCTTTTCTTCTTCATTTCACTTACATTACTACGGAAATCTCCAATGAGCTTGCTTGTTCAATCACGACGTCAAGCTATTGCAGACATCTGCAAAGCTTCCTTCACAGCAACAAGGCACCATTCCAGTGTCAGCCTTGAACGTATGCAAAATGCTTTGAATTACTGCAAAGATTCCGTTAGGTAAAAGAAACGGAATTCACTCGTGTGTCAGATATAGGTTGGCTAAATGTATGGCGATGATAGGCAACGAGATTACGAAGGCTATTTATGCGTGCCTTTTTTCCCAGCACATTTGAGAAATACGCAATACGCTATCCGAGCATTCAACGTAGAATTAGCATCTATCCGTGAAAATGTGTCGAAACCAGAAATCGGTAAAATGAGAATGCAGTTTTGGAAGGACACCATCGACAAAATCTATGCAGTAAGTATAGTGCTAGTAAGGGCCGACATGCGGAGGGTCATTGATTCAGTTTGTATAGGGCCATCCACCTGAGCAGCCTATCGCTTTGGCTTTGTCTGAAGCATTGAAAACATCAAAAATGTCAGCCATGTGGATGAAGCGTATTATCTCAGAGAGAGTGAGTTTTTCATGGAATTATGGAGAAAAACAGCATGACTAAACGAATGTGATTAGACCAGCAACTTGGACGATCATCAGTTCATGACAATGAAGGACATGGAGGATTATTCAGAAAATACCCAATCCAGTTTGCTATACCTTCAGCTGGAGTCACTTGGCGTCAAAGATGTCAATGCAGATCATGCTATTAGTCATATTGGTAAAATGATTGGTATCGCAACATTCTTGAGATCCTTGCCTTTCCATGTCAGTCAAAAGAGATTGGTTTTGCCAGCCGAGATCACTGCCAAGGTAGCTTTATAGTGTGGATACAATTGATGGAGACTGGACTGACATGTACCGTAGCATAATTTAGTGCAAGAAAACGTGTTTAGAGGCGAGATTGATGGCATGGAGGACGCAGTGTACGATGTGGCAACTGCGGCTTATGATCAGTTACTGACAGCCAGGTCGTTGTTAAGCCAAATACCTGGAGAGGCATTCCCCGCCCTTTTATCGGCTGTAAGTTGTGCTTGTTTGTGTGTGTGTGTGTGTGATAAGGATGATTGTCATCTGACGCTTTACATACCTCCTTAGATCCCTTATGTGAGATATTTGGAAAATTTGGAAAAGGCCAATTTCAATGTGTTTGATGTTAAATTACAAAAGAAAGACTGGAAGTTGCCCTTGGTCATGTACAAGTCATACAAAACACATACAATTTAAGCATAGAGTATATTCAATAAAGCCTTGTAAATATTAGATAAAAGTACAGTTAAGAATAAAAGATACGATTCAGCGTTTGGTCAATGATTTGCGACTACTTTGTGATTCATGGATGGAAGAAGAACAGAAATTACTGTCTGTCGATGATTGATCTTCGCACGTTGTTTCCTTCTTGTTGACGAACGATGGCTTGTTGCCGATAGTAGTGACATTAGGAGACGCAGAATAGGGAGGCACTGTTTTCATGTCTTGAATATGGAGATTGTTATTTGTGAAACCATATCCAACAGCAATGTCATTTGTGTGATGCGTGGCTAATATCTCGACAATATCACTGTGATTATGATGCAATGTGGTGTCTGGGTCATCGTGGGCATTATGATGCTGGTAAACTGAATTCTCATGATTGGAGTCTCTTTGATGTGTTGAGTAGTCGACGCCTGTTTCCTTCATCTTTCTGCCAGGTGTTTGTGAAGTGACCTAAAGCAAAATTATGCGGTAAATGCTCGTAGCTCTGTATGTGTTATTTTTGTGAGCAAATACCCAATGAATAGTAACAACATTGATGGTTACATCAACAGTGCAACATGTTAAACAGACGAGACCTCTTTCACGGCCGTTGAATAGAACGAGAGCAAGAACATTGGCAAATGAAGCTACTAAACAAACAACAGATGCCACCATGGTTCTCAAGGCCACTTCGTTCAGACGGGATGTTCTCCAGCCTACTTTGACACCAGCACCGAGTTTCATCAGAGGTTTGACAAAGAAGATGGTCATGTAAAAGTTGATGAACTAATAAGGCGATTGTTAATATCAATTCATGTCTGTCTGAGCTTTTGCTTACAAAATCATAGATCTATGCCAAATAGTTAATACAAATGTTGAAATTAGTAGGCATGAGCCTTACCAAAAGTGGCAGAGATGCAATAGACTGTAATCCGATAATGCAGATGCCACTAGCATCAATTTCAGAAATATGAAAGACCAGCTATGGATGTTAATTAGAATCAGGTCTTTCCTGCTGCTGCTGTCGTTCTGTATTATAGTTTACCATCAATGTGAAAATGGCGATATAAGGTAGCATGAGACACAAATGAAATCGATATGCCTTGGATCGCCATCTGGTCTCGCGGATCGAAGAGACTACATATACCTTCTCAATCAGCCTATAACTGAAGTATTAGTGTATTCTATCTCTGGTTGAGTAAATTGGCACGACACACATACCAAGCATAGATTGTGATCTTGGTGCCCGAATAGAAAATATCGCAGACCATGATTGACAGAAAGCATGATGTGTAGTTTTCTGTGTAATGCGTGTTATTATTGCCATCTTCAGTTATGAGACTTTACCTACTGTTGTTTGTTGTTACTAAAAGCATGCTGATGGTAGTAAATGACCAAGAAAATAGATAAAGAGCTAGAATCAACCATTTCGAATAGGAAAGGTATTTGAAATGCACATTGTACGTTTTGACACCAAACAAAGCGGACAGTAATGTGATTGAAAAGACAGAAACAAGCTTTGCTGCTATTTCAGGGCCATCTGGTTGTGGTGATTGAGCGAGATAGTGAGACGTATCCATCGAAAACTGTGTAAAAAGGAAAAGAGAAATCATCAACTACAAATCACAAACACAATGCTTTTATAGGCACCATATGGAAACACAATTGGATTTGTTCCATGGATTTCGCATCAAGTATTTTTTAACCCCTTAAATTTTCATAAATCAATTAGGTTCTGTCATCTACAATTTCATTTTCTGCATGCAAGAATATCTGTTTTGACACTGCATTTTCGCAGTTCTCTAATGCAAATGACTTGAATTTGTCATTAGACCTTTATATATCTTTGCTTGTTTGATTCAAAGAAACGAAAGTAAATTGAACAAACAGGGGGGGGGGGGCAAGAGCTTAGTATTGTTTGTTTTGTATCGTGGTTACACTACAATTTTCTTTCGGATTCTCTATCGCCCAGAAAGAGCCTCCTTTCATTTTAAGCAATAAAGTTATCAGGCCATAATGCTAAACTGTTATTATGTCTGTTTTCTCCCTTAATTATATTGATTTGGGCATTTGGGTCGTTCAAAATGAGCCAAATCAAGTAGATCCATCTCACGAAATGACATATAATCCACTTCCGCCTCAATTATCACCTTCAATCGAGATTTGCCCTTCAGTGAGAATATTAATATCCTGCCGTGTATTGTCAACAACCAGGCTTGAAACTAGATTTCGTTGTGTGGATTGTATCACTGTAACCACTGTATCAATCACCAAGACTCTGTAAATGTTGTATCGTACAGAATTACATATTATTTTATTATAAGGATTACATTTAATGGATAGGCTTGGCTTGCATGTTGGTAATGCCAGCCTTTTCGGCCATAGCAAGAACGTTGGCATGAGGCTTGAGCAAAGATTCAGGAAGAGTTTCCTTGAAACCCTCTGTATTCATCCAATCAAGGCCATGTTGGAGAATAACAGCAGCACGATGATGACCACCTTCAATAGTGCCCATAGAGGCATGAAGAGTAGCACGCTTTTGCGAAGAGACATAGGAAGCACGATGCAAGATGTTGTTATCGTAGAATACAGTTTGGCCAGGCTTCAAATCAACACGCAATTGGCCAGGCATCTTGTGGCTCTTGGGATCATTGATGGTGATATCTCTCTCGGCCTCGGTTCTGACACGACGATGAGAGTTGGGAACTACAAAGAGACAGGAGTCGTCATACAAGGCTGTATTCCATTGAGTGCCGTAATGAGGGATTTTGAGCTTCTCCCTTTCTTCCTCTTCCGATGCCTCGGCTTTGACAGCATCACGATGCCATGTTAAATCAAAATCAGAGTCTTGAGGATTGATCAGCAAGTTGAACAATTCTGATGGAGGGCGGTTAATTGTTGCGCTCATAAGCAAGTGTCCAAAACTTACCAAGTTGAAGATCATCGTGCTTTGTGTCTAATAACTGCTCCACAGCCTCCAAAAGCTTGGGAGATCCGTACCATTCGGCAAATACCTTTTCCTTTAAATCAGGATGAATCATATGTTGAACACCCCACACATCAGTGCCTTCAGTCCATGGAGGGAATTGTGTGCCAACAAGGCGTCTATGTACGTGTGTTTGAGTGTGAGTGTGTGCATGCATGTGCGAGTAGGTGGAGTATTACTGCGTACCTGTACTTCCAATCACCCTTTCTGGCTCTATCGACTACACGATCACAGGCTTCTCTGAGTCTAAGGAACATTTCCTCCGGGATCAAGTTGTCTACAATGACAAAGCCATTTTCCTTGATAGCTTGATCGATGGGGACGTTGTTAATATCAGTGAGCATAGTGAGAAGAGTGTTTGTGAAAGAGATATGAATGCCAAAAAACTTGGATTTTGCAGGGTCTTTTAAACTTTAACAGAATGGACTACAAAAGGAGCATGAGCTCCGCCTGATTGGTAAGATGTCCATGTTTTCACACGCTAAAGGTTTCCCCAGGGTTCCTATCGTTGCATTTCATAAGATATCCTTGAACTTTATGGGCAGGGTTCTTTATTGTAGAGGATTCGCCCTTGTATCACTTGTCTAGTTTACGTAAGCAGATGTTTATCTATTACGTCCTGAGAAAAAAATATGGCATGATCCTCTGACGATTGACCTATAAAAGTTAGTTTACAGCAGATCAAGGAATACCAGTCGAAGTAGAATGACAAGCACTAGCTGAGATGGCTGCTGTTTCTACAAATGCCATACTGCAGATTAACAAAAGGAGGTTGTGGGATAGAGTGTGATGGAATGCATCAGAGTTAGATTTGTTAAATGCACCGATGATGTTGTGGTGAGATAAAGCTTGATGATATATCTCACATTTGGCCTGCACCAGTTCTCCGTGATATAATCGTGATTGAAATATGCTGTGAATATAGTATTACAGTCCACTTCCCAGAATCGGCACCAAAAATGCTGATGAATGGTAATATATACTCTGTTGGAGAAAGTTCCATCTTCCCATGAGTTTAGTACGCTGGTAAATACTAGATCAGTATAACTCTCAAACCTCACCATTTGCTCTTCTGAGTAGAGGTAAACAAACAGCTAACCGGGATTGCACAGAAGCATATCTTATCTTCCTTCATACGATATCTGTCAATGGCAAACTTTCTCTTTGCCCGAATGTTACAGTTGGAATGGACATCGCTTCCTGAATCTTTAGTTACCCCACACGGATATATTGTTATCCATGTCTCACAAGCGTTTGTCCCCTTGTACAGTATGTCTCAAGGCTCCCTTTCTCTTGCCAATAAACACATTTGCTTGAAGCAAGCATCATATCAGTCTGAAAATGGGTACAGTGTGTGCCATTCATTGGCGTTGGATAAAAAACTGTTGAAAATTATGAAATGTACTAGGAAAACACCTTAATTGGCTATGCAAAGATGCTGTTTGCCATTGTATAACGTCAAGAGATACAAATTCATATATCAAAGAGATGCATAGCCTTCAAAAAGACCCAAGATGAAGGCCTCACCTGTCAAATCTTATAGTTATCCAGTTGCGTTGACGATTTACTCTGAATAAAGACTAGTTAAGCGATCTAAAAGTGCCAGGTTGCTATCATTACACGGAACAGGATGATAGCAGTTATCCTTCTTTGTGTACTCGAGAGGGTTTGAGGGGGGACGGAGATCTTTATAATATGTAATTTCACTAGCAGTTTTTTTTTTTTTTTTTTTTTTTTTTTTTTTTTTCACACTCGAGAAGGCATCCTACATTCAGAGCTGTTACATTTGCCTTTTAATGTAGCCTTTGATTGCAAACATTTGGATGGCCTTTGTCACTGATTTAGCATTCATTACCTTTGATACATGATATAATAATCAAACACGTAACTCGTCAGTTCACCTTGTTACTATTTGACTGATTTAACATTGGGCGAAGCCAGCCAAGCGCAGCATTTAGTTGCCACTGCTGAATTCGGAATGCTACCAAATGCAATACCAGATTCACTATGTGACTCGGCGCTATTGTGTGAGTGTGCTGAACGAGGCTGAATAAAGCACACGAGTAATGCCTTGATAAAATCAATTGCATTTCTTTTGATTTATTCCTCGTTGAAATGGCTTATCCCGGATCATACGGTACTCACGGCTATGGACAGCCTCAAAAATCACAACAGCAACAACAGGGATACCCACCACCATCGCAAGGTGGCTATCCACCACCATCGCAAGGTGGCTATCCACCACCATCGCAAGGTGGCTATCCACCTCCACCCCAAGGTGGATACGCTTCTCAAGGTTATCCACCTCCACCACCCCAACAAGGTGGCTACCAAGGCGGATATCCCTCCCAAGGATATCCTCCTCCTCCTGCTCCTCAGCATTACGGCGGCTACAATCAGCCTCCTGCTCAGTATGGTGGTGCTGGATTCCCATCGCCTCAACAACAACAGCAGCAGCAATTTTCTCCACCTCCCAATTACGGCAATTACCCACCCCCATCTGATGCTTCTGTAAGTAAAAAAAAATGATATAGACACTAGTTGAAACTAACCAATGTGCGTACTAGCTCAACAGCAACAATCGTCAGCAATCCAGTGGTATTCAGCCACCAGCATATCAGGGTATATCTAGACTATATATATATATATATATTGCTGCCAAATGAATGTACTTAAATTTCGTCAATTCAGGCCCTGATCCCGTCTTCCAGCCTACAGATCCCACGTTGAACCAAGCCAACTACCCTCAGCCTCCCAACTCATCTCACAATCAAGGAACTCACCCAAGTAAGAAGGGCAGAAAAAGAGCGTTTTGAGTATCATCTAAATCAAAAGTGTAGTCCCCTACGGTAAACCACAAAGTGCAGACGTAGCCAACAACTTTGTGATGCATGTGAATCCATCTATGCAAAATGAGAGGCCACCCAACTTTCAACTTTCCAACTGTAAGTGAACGTCTTTTTTGAAATTAGCAAGACGGTGTATTTAATTACAACATAGGTCAAGGAAGAAAGAGAGCCTTGTTGATTGGTATCAATTACATTGGTAGTAAAAACGCACTGAACGGCTGTATCAATGATGTCAAGAATGTGAAACAGTTCTTGACCACCTTGTATAACTTTAGGGAGGTACTGTTGATGGATGTGTATTACATGTACTTGTATTGACCTTTGTGCACGGTGTAGGAGGATATGGTCATCTTGACCGACGATAAGCAGGATCCCAAATTTATTCCTACAAAGCAGAATATTCTTAGTGCTATGCAATGGCTTGTAAGTGGAGCAAGAGAGAACGATTCGTAAGTGTGTCACAACAGGATTGAGGTCAGGAGTATTTACATATCTTTATCAGATTCTTTTTCCACTTCAGTGGTCATGGTGGCAGAGTAAAGGATACAGATGGCGATGAAGATGATGGCTATGATGAAACCATCTATCCAGTCGATCATGATAGATATCAAGGCGATTCTGGTCAAATTGCAGATGATGTACGGAACGATGTACACAAGTTGTATCAAATTGGAATTCATGCCTTTTTATGATAGGAAATGCATGCTATTATGGTGCGTCCCTTGCCTAGAGGTGCTCGTTTGACCTGTATCTTTGATTCATGCCACTCTGGAACCGCTCTCGATTTACCTTATGTGTATAGTACTCAAGGTACTATCAAGGAAGACAATCCTTTCAAAGATGCTGGATCAGGTCTGTTGAGTGCTGGTCTTGCTTATGCCGCCGGCAACAAGTCTGGTGCTTTATCCTCTCTCATGAGTTTGGGTAAGAATATCATGGGTAGAAAGAGCGTCGATGATCGCGTAAAGCAATTCAAGAGCTCAGAGTCAGATGTCATCATGTTCTCTGGTTGTAAAGACAATCAAACATCTGCTGATGCTATGGAAAATGGTGCCTCTACTGGTGCAATGTCATATGCCTTTACTAGTAAGTTGACCAACCGTCTATATTGCACTCAACATTATACTGATTATGTGGATATAGCTGTCTTGCGTCAAAACCAACAATTAACCTATCTTCAATTGCTCAATGCAATCCGTGAAATCTTAAAGTCTAAGTATTCTCAACGTCCTCAGCTTTCTGCATCTCATCCTATCGATGTCAACCTTTTATTTATTATTTGATCGTAATCACATTCATTAGTACAATAAATAATAACTCAACAGTGCACACACGGCCATAGGGGGCAGTAATCTAACTAAAAAATTCATCGTCGTCTTTTGAACAATGCAGTAGATAGCTGAGATCAAGTTTTGCTTTAATAGTTAGATGTTTATACTGTGCTCGAGGCTCAAGAATAGAGGATATAGATAATTTGACATATGCTAATAACAGCATCTATCTCACCACTGATACATGATTGCTATTTTCATACCCAACTTGCCCCTCATACGCCGTTTTCTTTAAATTTGTTGCCTGATGGTATGCCGTTGGTGCTGCCTTCTTTGATCAAGTCCATTCGAATGTTGATCTACGATTTTGGCGGCTGCTCCGTCAAATGCTGCGGAGGTTAGGCAGGGTTAAAATTTTATCGTTTAACAGATTATTAATTTACAGCGAAGCAACATCTGCCAACTGTTACATCAAACGTCCTAGCAAGGTCTCATACTAAAGGTTTTGAGCTATTCTTAGGTCCTTTGGGTAAATCATGCTAATCATGATTTACAAATTACTTGTTGGGTAAATAGTAAACCCTAACATAATGAAAATTATATAGATACATCCTCGGGGTACATCTGTCTTCATCAATAAATCATTAGTTTTGTAACTACTGATCTTATTAATTTAATTAAGTCTTAGCTTGTTTTTCTGAATAATATTAATTTTTTTTACAAGCTACACATTATGAACTATGTGTTCGTTTTTGCTGTTGTGCATATCATAGTTGAGCCAAAGTAACAGATTTCTTGAACACGCCTCTAAAGAAATTTAGTACAGTTTTAAAGAGCATCATCAATACAAATGTATTCTCCATGAAGAAAACTAATCGGCCGCAAATACTAGATCATTGTACATCTCGGTTGCACTACCACCCAAAGAGCCTAACATGGCTATTCTGCTATCAAACGCGAGTAAAACAAAGAGAGAATCCTGTTGAAGATGTGGCAACGATGCTTTATTGTCCTTAGTTCATAAAAGCTACCTGTATCAAGTTCCCTGCTGATTCCTGGTTAAAACTTATTGATGAGCTGATTATGATACGTTTTTTTTTTATCATAGTTAAGCTTTAAAAATCTCACTAAAGCGCTTATTATAATTAGTACTATCTGATATTTGCATTTATTGCGAGGGGGCTCCTTCAAATCATGGAATACGGTCTTGATCTACTCTATAAATCTTCTGGCAATACAGCCTCTCACCCTTAAATTATACTCCAAATCAGACCCAAATATGATAGTTTTTATCGCAAATATCTTTTGCTACAAGCTGTTTTGAACGCTTAGACGGTTGTCAAACAGTTGCCTATGATTGAGATTTATTTACTGATACTTTATCTCATTTTTTTTCGGGTTATTGCAGATTCATGAAAATCCTCGTTTTTTCATGAGTATTAGCAAGGGAAAATTCTTGAAAATCAAACGATCGCGTTTTTCACCCCAAAAATGAAGACTTTTTCTATGAAACATATCAGATCAAATTGATCGTAATGGTAAAATGCAACATTAAAACCTGTTTCTCTGGAACTTTTATATACTAAATTTTGACATATTGGCAAATACCCTGTTTTCATATTTTTGCAAATGGCTTATCATTTTCGGTCTGAAAGCTAAATGTAATCAGCATCATTCGATGCGCCTTCATTGACTCTTTATAGACGCATTAGAAAGTAACGTATAGCAACGACAATTTTCATAGTCAAATTTAGCAAAAACGTTTAAAGAATGTGAAATTAAGTCAAATTTGAACACAAAAATACCCACTGCACAATTTCAAATTAAAATGCAGCAGTTACTACGGGTGCCACGGCAGAAGACTGAGACCAAAACTACTGGCCGTGACGTCGGATAGGTCGCCCTCTCATTTTTCCATACCACCGTTTTTTTATCCTTTTTGCAAAACGCGTTTAGTATCAAACCATATTGGTTTTGGAACCTTTTTGATTGAAAATAACACTCTATCATCTTATAACACGGTCTTGCACTGTCAAAATACTTGATGCTGCTGCTTTGAGGTGGAATATAGTAGGTACCATTCGACAACGAGCACAGAAAGATGTAGAACAAACACTAATCGAATTTGTTTATTAGGTTTCGATAATATTTTTTGCCTGTTTGACGTGGGTGCTGCTGCCAATACTTCTTTGCTATCTCTGCTGCCTGCTTCCTTGGTTTATTACGTCTGGTAGCTGCTTCTTGGTCTCTATCTCTGGCGACTGCTTTGTTAATCTTTATATGGTCTCTGGTGTCACTCGTTCTTCGGTTTTTCTACGCCACTGTTGTTGCTGATGGTCTTGCTGCTGGTCTTGCTGCTGCTCGTCTGGTCTTTCTTGGTCTGCTGTCTTTGTTGTATGCTTGTTCTCTGGTCTATCTGTGGTGATTACCTATTCTTTGGTCTATTGGCGGCTGTGGTAAGTGGTAAGTAACTTTTTTTCTTACGGTCGCAATGATACAAAGCTTCTCTGGACGCTTTTATTATTGCTTCCTTTCTCGTGATAATGCATTCATGAGGTTTTCTTTGCTGCGCTTTTTTTTTCTTTTGTTGGCTGTGATATGATCAGCTCAACAAATGCTTGCAATGTTGTTGCTTCGTATGTACGAACAACAAGCATGATGTACTGCTATATATCTGTATTGCCGTTGTAATACTACTTTGTTATATGGCCGTGGGTTGTTGTTTGTGTTGCCTCTGTCGCTTCACATGAAACAACATTAGTCACTATGTTGTATTGCACACTTATAATACTGATGTTGCTCCTGCAATTGTGCGTGTTTGTGTTGCTTTACATCCGACTATTACCACCGTGCACGTTGTTCATGTATGCATTTTTGTTGCAACATCAGCAAGCTGTTCTGAACATTCTTTGATGTTGTATTTGTAGTTATGCTTTTCTTTTGACTCACTTTTTTGTGTGAGTGTCCCTTTTTTTTATCTACATGCTACTATACTCCTATAGTAATATGTTCTTTTCTTCTTTTCCTTTTTTCTTTTATTATGTTTCTTTCGAAGCATACCACTTTATTACGTTGTGGTGGATGTGCCTATCGCTGAAGCTCAACAAGACTTTATCCGAGACTAGGAGATGGATAGGCTGCCTCCACTTGGTTATCACTACTTACTTTAGTGATGATTGAGGGTCTCAACGCCTGAATTTAAAAGCTAGGTGGTGTAAGTAAGGCATGCTCTAGCACCTGAGGGAAATTTGATGATAGTAACAGCTATATTGCTATAGCGGAACTTAAAATTTTGCCTCACATCAAAACGGGGGGAAACCCTCGCAATTTTTTTTTTAGGTCAGCGGAGTTTTCGAGCGATTTGATTGGCTGAAGGACTGAAAGAGAAACGGTCTACAATTAGTTGATTTTCTGTTGATCTGCCATTTAACATCATTTTGTCTTTTGTAATAATAAAACCGTAATCAAATGGAAACAACTTAAATCCTTTGTGGAATTTGAGGCTTGATAGACTAAAATTCACGGAAAAAAAAAGAATAAAAAAAAAATAGTAAAGTCAACTTGATAAAGGTATACGTATGTTTTATTATCAAACTGACAGGTGTAAAGTCAAACTGAAGTCTCTCTACTGGCCAGGTAGATGATCCTTCTTATATACTATAACAATGGATAAAAGTTCTATTAATTAGATTAACAAATAAGTCAACTCAAATCAACTAATGTCTAATCATGCTAAAAGACAACTCCAGCAAGCTAATCATGATTTAGCTCTGTCTGGATGGATAATTAGACTCTCATCCGAAGTACCCTGATCTATCCTTTCTATAAGGATAATTAATATCGATCTAGTAGCATGTATCCGATAGGTACAGTCTACTTAGTCTATATCAATAGTACATATCTGAGTGTATATCGCTAAGCATACATCTTTAGCATGTATCTGGATATATGGCATGTCTATAGCATATCGTATGCATGTCTATAGCATGTCTCATATATAGTACAAGTCTGTAGTACATAAAGTATCTGTAGCTAGTATCACGGATATAAGCATGTGTCTTATAGCGTGGATCATGAAGTGCACATCTGAAGCAACAAGCTCATATTGCATTAATCTTGGTGCCTATCCAGATATGGTAAACATCCGTAGTCAATGTCGGAATACAAGTATAAGTCTATAGCGCCATCCATGTCCGTGGTGCCATCTATAGCCTATATCTTATATAGTATGAATCTTATAGTACTAGCGTATCTGAAGTCCATATCTTCTTATAGTATAAATCGATATCGTACATCTAATCCAGTGTACATACAGTTTATATCTAAATCTGGTAACTGGATGAACTGTCGGAATGCAGATCATAGTGGATGTATTCCACAGGGGAAATCATATAATAGGCACTACAACAGCGGTACGGTACATCAATTACTTTCAACATGTATATTATAATCTTTCCATCAAAGTTTGCTATCTTTTACCTCATAATATCCAAGACTCTGAGTGTACAAATATTCCCGGTTTTGAAATATTGGCCATCCTAAATCAACTTTTGAAATATTATTACTGATGCTAGAACTCTGACAATACTATGTTCCTAGCTAAACCTTACGAAGGAAACAGTAGTGCAGATGGACGAATCTTAGATTGGGTGATGGGTTGTTGATGATCAAATACAGACGATTCCGACAGTAGTAGACGGTTTTGAACAAAGACATATGTGTTGCATACAAGCATGCATCTTGGGCTACATTCACTTTCTCCTCAAGTCACCTTTTACAGTGTAGCAGCATAGATGATGTTTATTGTATCACATCACATCTATGTTTACAAATCCAGTCAATTGTGTGTGTACATGTGCCTCAGGAACTACAATACATTCAATCTCCCCAATGTCAAGATATCGAGATCCACCTACACTACATGAAACATATTATCGAATTGGGTGGCCTCTCAACAAGCTATACCAACAATCCATAAGGCCCCAGTGGCCCGCTATTTATATACCATCTCAACGTAGTAGTAGTCATTGACCAGGGATCTACCATATTTAAGCAAGCTAGATGCCCTGTAATAAAGAAGCTTTTTGCTTTCGTTTTAGATACAGTTGACAACTGATTATTATCATCGACTTATTATTACGAATTCACCAATATGTATAAAAGTTACTACTGAAAGCTGTTGTAATTGCAAGAAGTGGTGAAAGGTATTAGATCAATGGATTAGGTGTTGGGAGGCGCTGTAGTTAGTGGAAACCTGCTTGTTATATCTTCCTTAAGATTTTTTGGCAAGAAGTCAAAGGTGTGCTGAGTATATTAGCAAGTTTTGAGTAATGAGCTTCATATAAAAGCTTATTAATTACGAGCGACTACGAGTAATAGATCAATGGAACAGAAAGTGTTGGAGAGCGTTGTGCAAAACCGCTTGTATATGCACAACTGTCAATCACTAGAAACTTTCAGATTTTAACGAATCTAAAACTCATCCAATGACGGCTGGATGATGGTCTCTCAGCCAAGTGTGTGGTTGATGTTGAGCTCGCTGTGTGCCATACCTTACTTTATAAGTTGCTATTTCAAGTTATCTATGAACACTTGATATGCTGGTGAGTCATACTTTTAAGATTAGATGACTGTGGCTTGCTTTGCTTAGCCCTTGTAAGCCTTCCAATTTAAGGTATTCATGTTTTCCCCGCTTGAAAAATGCCATCCGTAGAATATCGTTTAGCTGGTCTACTAAGCTACTCCAGCTTCCCAGTAATTAAATATGCCTTGCTTCGTAAAGATGTACCACAGACTTCACTAATGTGGGGCGTTATATTTCACCTCGTCTTAGTTACTGAATGTGATATTCAATGCTCATCAATCAAACTTTTACCTTGGCAAATGGCATCAGGAAGACAAACGATTTTACAGAGGACGTGGAAGCATAAAAGATGTGCTGGCTCATGCTGATTTGCAATCATCGCATTGTGCGCGCTATAACATTGCATAAATGATGCTTCCCTCCACACTGGATACACATGACGACATGTATGATATGCAAAAGCTCAGGACCCAAGTTTGCTGCGAAGGTTTGCAAATGTAATACAACTGTCTTTGCTGCGAAGGCCTGCCTCTTGATATATTATAATTCGTTAGCAAATTGACTTGTATGCACTATGTGGTTATTGCTCTCTGCAGCTGTACATCATGTTTGTGTCAACCGAACTCTATTAACTAAAACTGGATATCAATGACGATTTTGCCATTACCGGATGTTTACCGAATCTGTGCGATGCTCTTTTTTTTTTTTTTTGTACAAATTATCATTCACATTTACGTATTTCATTCACACAAGTATCAGCAGTGACTGAAAACAGAGGCAAGCATCATCAAATACGCGAAGGTTTCGAATGGGTTACTCTTTTGCTTTAGGTCGCTCTTGCATACCACAGACTGATCTTGGTCAGGAAAGCCTATTTTTGGACGTCGATCTGTATCAAATAAAGACAAGCAGTATCAGTTCTGTCCGACTGCAATGTTCCACACTGTTGCACCTGCATATTTATATGACTTCATGTGCGGATATCCTTTTGTAGTCTAAGCCTACTGTTCGCGGCCGGTAAGAAATGATGGGATGAGCAGCATACAACGATACGAGTGGCTCTGACTTCATCTTGTGAGATTTGCACTGAATCGGATGCTACTTGACAAGACCTACATCCGCTCTTGACAAACAATACATCATCTTGGTATAAATGTTGTGTACCTGGGTTGATTAAGTTTGTACAATGTTGGTGTAATCCAAAAGAATAGATTTCCAAATCTAGTTGCTGTCCCAGTAAATTGTATATAAAAGGCTCATTTCATAAAGTTTTCCTTCTCGCCCTTCTATTCACACTAATACATTTAATTATAAATTTTCTTTGTATGGATAAACAGCTGAGCTTTGAAGGTTCATCTGCTGTCATGATGGATCAATCTCCCACTTCGTCCACAGCGGCCATGCATACACCTGCTTCAGCATCGTCAACAGCCACGGCCCCAGCACCACCGCCACCACTGGCACATCAGAAAACCATGTCGAGCAGCATTCACAGCGAAAAGTCATCAAAGACACCTAGAAAGATCAGCGCCAAAGAGGGCTTCATGGCTATTGTAAAGTCCTCCTGGGTAAATGTGCTTCTGGTGTTTGTGCCAATCGGCATTGCTTCTCATTTTGTGTGGTCTCCTACTATTACTTTTATAATGAATTTTTTGGCAATCATCCCACTGGCCAAGTTGTTGGGGTTTGCTACTGAAGACATTGCTCTCAGAACAGGCGAGGTAAAAAATAAAAAAAATAAAAAATAAAACTACATGGCAGATCCAGGCCCGTTGCTGATACTTGCTCATAGATCATCGGTGGTCTGCTTAATGCAACATTCGGAAACGCTGTAGAACTCATCATTTCAGTCATCTCTTTAACCCAAAATTTAGTCGTTGTTGTTCAAGCGTCCATGTTGGGGTCCATTTTGTCTAATCTGCTTTTGGTGCTGGGAATGTGTTTTTTTGGCGGTGGAAGTCGCTATAGAATACAATACTTTAACAAGACAGTTGCACAGACATCAGCCTCTCTACTGTTTATATCTGTTGCCTCCTTGCTGATCCCAGCATCATTTTACGGATCGATTCACAATACAAATACAGAAACCAGTGGTGAATTGACTCAGGACATTTTGAACATTTCAAGAGCTACATCCATCATTTTACTGGTCCTATACTTTTCATACTTGTTCTTCCAGGTATGTGATACATAATGTATTTGTGGCTCGTGAATAGTACAGCTAAACAGCCTTGGTTTAAAATTTAGCTTAAAACTCACAACTATTTGGTACGTACTGTGCAACATGACATTTTACCATTTTCGTATTAAAACCTTATATCCATAGTTTACGGGTCCTTCTAGCCCAGAGAATCGCAGAGCCAGCCGAATTCAATTGCAAGAACAGCGCCAGAGCCGTCAAGCTACTGCTGCCGAAGAAGGCCAAGCCTTTATAAGCCCAGCCGAAGAGGAGAAGGAGGAAGAAGAAGAAGAGGAGGAGGAACCTCAGTTGCCTGCATGGATGTCTATTGCTCTGTAAGTTGCCAAGCCTTGGAGTAGCACACACATTCTCACCATGTTGCATGCTAGCTTGATTATTGTCACCGTGATTGTAGGCGTTTGTGCAGAGTTCCTGGTATCCGCTATTGAGGAAGTAACCAAAGTGTGGCACATTAGTGAAACCTTTGTAGGCCTTATCCTCATTCCTATTGTGGGCAACGCAGCAGAGCATCTGACTGCAGTTACGTGTGCTCTCAAGAACAAGATGGACTTGGCCTTAGGTGTTGCTGTGGGAAGCAGCATGCAGATTGCACTCTTGGTGACTCCATTGATGGTGATCATTGCTTGGCCCATGGGAGTAGAGATGAGCCTCTTTTTCAACATTTACGAAACTGCTGTTTTGCTGATTGCTGTGATTATGGTCAACTATTTGATTATGGTAGGTTTAGTATACTAGAACTGTATGCAGATTCACTCATATCAATCTTTGATAGGATGGCGAGAGTAATTGGCTGGAAGGATTGATGCTTATGGCTGTTTACATTGTGATAGCTATCAGTTTCTACTATTATCCTGATGAGAACACCGGCGCTTCGTCAGGTGCATCTAATTCCACCATGTCTGGATAGACGACTCTAATGTACTATATTAATAAATAAACGCATTCAATTTACATGGCATTTTTGCTTAGTAGATCAAGTTGGATGGCCAAGACAGAATCGCATATGCTGTCCCATTTCTTTTCCAGCTTGATTTACACCATTCCCCTCGATATTCCTTTGCTGCTTCATATGCATCTGCGACGCCCAAGTGGATGATGTTGATGCACTTCCATTTGGTTCAGTTGCCGCTTGGACTAATATTATCTCATCTCGTGAAAATAGCCTCTTTTTTTTATTTCTTTTCCCATACCATTCAAGATGGCAACGACTCATGCAGCAGGCTGGACAGCAACAGCCATTACCAAAGCGCTACACATTCAGTATCCTATCATTCAAGCACCCTGTGCTGGGCATACAGGGGCTGACCTCATTGCTGCTGTAAGTAACGCAGGTGGTTTAGGCTCATTGGGTGCTGGCATGATTCCAGCTGCTCAGCTACGCACCACTATCCACAGCATTCGCGAAAAGACATCTCGCCCCTTTGCAGTCAATCTCTTTTGTAGAGCAGCCAAACCTCCCACGCACGCTGAATTGCAGAAACATTATCCTGGCACCGATGATGTCTTGAACGAGATTCGCACAGAGCTGAATCTACCTATTCCCACTGAATTCCAACTACGTTCTCCACCATTTGAGGATCAGGTCAATGTGGTTGTGGAGGAGCGTGTGCCTGTGGTGTCATTTACATTTGGTCTTCTGCCCGATAGTGTTCTACAACGACTTTGGAGCGCAGGCACCTTTTTGATAGGTACAGCTACTACGGTGCAAGAAGCATTGGCTTTAGCAGGTTTAGACCCCTCGGATCCCACACGAAAAGCAGATGCGATTGTTGCGCAAGGCTTAGAGGCTGGAGGTCATCGTGGCTCGTTTTTGAAAATCAGCCATGACGATAAGCATCATCAGCAATTGCCCGTTGCAGACTTGGTGAAGGCAATCCGATCTACACAGAACAATGGTCGATTTCCTATTCCCATTATTGCTGCAGGAGGCATTAGCTCTGGCGCAGATGTCTATCATGCTATTCATGACTGGAAAGCGGATGGTGCTGCCATTGGCACTCTGTTCATGCTGTCCAAGGAATCCACCACGCCACAAGGACACAGAGATTACATGTTGAGGGCCAAGGCCAATGCTGTGGAAGAGACCAAGATCACCACAGCCATCACGGGCAAGAGTGTGCGTAGCTATCCCAACCAACTGATGAAGCGCATTGAAGCGGCCAGCAAGAAGAGTGGAGGCGAGATTCCCAACTATGACATTCAATCATCAAAGACCAAGGACATTGCTGCTTATGCGACTCAAAATGGCATCCAGGATTACATGATGCTGCTCTCTGGTGTGAATGCCCCGTTGGCAGCCGAGTATTCTGAGCAAGGCACATTGTCTGCAGCAGAGATTTTGAACAAGCTTGTTAACGATGTTGATGCAAAGATAGCAGCCGCATAAATAAACGGTTTTTATTGAACGACTTGTGTAGTAAATGTATCGAGTAAGCGTTGGTCAGGGTGGTAAAGCGCTAAAAATCAAGCGAGGTTTCTCTGCTATGAGCTCCATCAACATCAATCTGCTTTGGCCTGGACTTAAGCGCTCTGATCTCTCTTTAAAAGAGCACAGGACCTAATTCTCTGCGCTATCTAGACAACAACAAACATCCCAGCGCGCAAAAGATGGGCCACGATATAATATCATTTAGATGCAGCTCATAAATACAATCCACTGCTACACATCATGAAAACCAGCCTCGGTTTATCCACAAATCCAGGCAGAGAACTCCGTTCATACAAGGGGATTTCCTCAATCTCGGTTGCAACTAGAAGCTTTCCCCATTTAACCGTACCAAATGTCATGTTGTTGTTGTTTCATAGTAGGCTTGAATTGTTTGTATTTATATCTTTTCATGAATAAAAAGGTACCATTCACTACTGAGTTCAAATGAGCTTAATTGCCATGAATGAGATGGAGATGGATCGAATCGACTTTAGAAGAATGAGAAAAACCAGGCACATATCCTAGTTGGTGCGTGATTTTCCAGAACATGACATATTTTACCTGCCACACTGGGCTAACACAGCGTAACCTAGAGATCTGCGCACTGGAGCCTTATAAATACATCCTCATGTTATTTTTATGTTTGTATCTCAACTTGAAATCCTGTAGATTTGATCATGTTGGTGGCCTGGATAAGATGGTGTGTTTTCTAGTGCTATCAGGCAGCCCTGCGATGGCTCTGGCCTCTGCACAGCAGCGCACTGGGTGCCCTCATTATCCTCTCAGTAGGTCTACAGCAGCCACCTTGCTATCCATCATGGTTGGCCTTGACTTTCCTTGTGTTCCCTCACACAAATTATTGAAATTTGATTAATGAATCAATCCTAAAATAAAAGGCGAATATACAAAACATTCAAAATCCAAACGAAATGTAGAGGAGATGTAAATAGAGTAAATGCACCTTTGCTAAATACGGTTATATCGATACAGCAACAAAGGATCAACACGCTGGAGAAGACAAGACTCTGTCTCCCTTGTACAACCAGCGAGCCCCCCTTCATTAATGGTTTTAACGAACGCCCAACTAGACTAATTTCTTTCTCTCTTTCTTTCCTTTTCATTTTTCTTTCAGTTGATCCGGAAATCCCTACAGAAACATGATTCGAGTACAGAGATTGCTATATTATATCGTCATACTGGCGTTTTTCGCCTTCATCTCCATCACAATATTTCCGCATTTAAAAGCATCCAATCCCACTACGGGCGCTGTCAGGGAGCAAGTCGAGACAACCACCAACACAGCACCTAAAAAAGTATACGACTCCAATGAAGAAAGATACTTGTCGTGGTTTCCTCACAGGTAAAACAAGCCTAGATCTCGTCTTGTACATCTATTGAACCCTTTCTATTTTGCAGTGATTTCCCTGAGCAACAGGAATCATTCAGAAATGCACTCCGACTTGCTTTAGAAACCAAGCGTACCATCATTGCACCTATGCTTAGAATCAACAACATATATCCTTGGATGCCGTTTGAAGATCTCGCTAAACGCTACGAGGCACAAGAGAAATCCACCTTACAGAAAGCATGTGACGCACATCAAACCAACTGGCAAACCGAATTAGAGCCTTGCGAGACCATCCATGATTGGATTGAGATACCTTGGTCTAGCATCATGGATTTGGAGGTCATCAAGCGAGAGTACGGTATCCGCATTATAGAGCGTACACACGGACATGGCTGGGGTGTCCATGAGTCTGTTCTCGGTGGCCATGTCGATCCAGAGGATGTCGCTATTGTGGATGTCATGTCATTTAAGGAGAACGGTACAGATTGGGAGCATGTGGATCCAGCAGAGGAAGCATTGAAACAAAAGCCATCTCGTTTCTCCAATTGGATTCAATCTCATTTAACACCAAAACAGCCTGAAAAGCTGACTCAACCATTGAAATTTGTACTCAATGTGGATCAATTGCATGCTATTGACGCTAAAATCATCCAATTCGGTGCACTAAACTCGGCTGCTCGCTATTTAACCACACAGAACGAAATCCAACAAGACTTGCGAAAGGCGCTGATGAAGACTCGCTTTGTTGTGCCTGATAACATGGCTCAGCTCACTGCCCAATCCGCCAAGATCATCGATGCTCTCGGTGGACGATTCCAATACAGCACTCTGATTTTGAACCTATCCAAATTAGTCGCATTGGATGCACGCGCTGGTACAATTCAGCATTTAGCAGTAGACGGATTAAAGAAGCAAGACGAGGATACATTGGTAGAGAACGGACCTTCTACCATGGAAGATTTGGATGTCAAGTCTAGAAAAGAACTGATGGAGGCAGTGGTGCTGGAGATCTTTGGCGACATTCCCATCAACCAGGCTGTTTCTGCTGCGATGCCCATACAACCATCTAAATTGGCTGATATTTTAAGTTCAAAGACCTTGACCAATCAACCAAATGATCGACGTCAATTGTTGGAAGCTTGTGTTGATTATCACAAGAATGTTGAACAGCGCTATCCCGTCTACTACTTGATGAATGATATGGGTGTTGCACCTGAAACTAGACCAGATATCTTTGGCCCTTTGCTCGACATGTTTCCCTGTGTCTTTTCTCGACAAGACATGCTAAAGTGGGGCATTCAGACAGAATCATGGGCCTTGGGTCAGCCTGGTTTGACTGATTTAGCTGTAAACTATGAAAAACTACTCCAACCTCTCCTTGACATTTTGATTGCAGGCAAAGGTAAATAGAGGCGAGACATGTGTAGTGTGATGTGATATACTCAAACTACTCTACATTTACAGGCTACTCATTTTTCGAGATTCCTACAACACCATTAACACGGTTCCTCAACTGGAGTCCAAAGGAATGAGATGATGATGGAAGACTTATATATAGAAACAATTAAAACACTGTAAAGTCATCTCTCTCAGTGTGTGTGTGTGTGTGTGTGTGTCTGAATTGTGTGAATTTATCCGAATCATTGTATAAAATTGTTGTCAAATGAGGTCATGATACAGTCATTTATGTAGAATATTACCACACATGCAAATGGCATAATAAGACAAGATTTGGTAAGAATATATAAAGCACTGCACTGTTGACAGATGCCTTCTATTTTTCTCTCTTCTTTTTCTCTACTTGTAATACATTGTATCCTCTCCCATCTCCACACAAAACCATGAATCAATTCAACCTCAATAAGGCATCTCCTTTGATGAGACGCCAATCTGCCCTCATGATGATGAACACCAGACGTCTCATGTCATCGCAATACCGCCAACCAGTGCGTCGAGGTGGTGTCAACAAAGGTCTAGTGGCAACGCTTGTCGTTGCTGCTGCTGGTTTTGCATACTACAAACGTACAGTCGATGAAAAGAGTAAGTAGCCATCACATTCATGCAAACAATTTCAGATTTCTAATACTTGTTTCAGAATTCTATAACGGTGATTCAGATCCCTATGAAAGAACTAAAAAGAACGTGACTCAACTGGGTAACAAGGTAACCAAGGACGCAGAGCCTGAGGCCCATGGTGCTGTTGATGAACTCAATGCCGCTGGTAAACACATCAAGAAATCTGCCAATTTGGCTGGTCAAGCTGCTCAAGATGCCTACCAAAGTGCTACTTCTTCTGTCAAGAAGGAAGGCGAACACGTTGCCAACACATTCAAGAAGGAATCCAGTGAACTCGCCTCTGAAGTCGACAAGTTTCGTCAAGAACACCATTTGAAGGAAGGCGACCGCACACCCGAAGACGTCTTGTCTCACAAATACAACCAAGCTGCTGACAAGGTCTCTTCCAAGGCCAACGAATGGAAGCAAGACGCAAATGAAGCTGCTTTCAAGGCTGCCGACAAGTTCAAGAATGCAAAGACCTCTGCTTCTTCTGGTAACAACGTGGACCACAACCCCATGGTAAATGAAAAGGTCTCTGCTGATAAGACCAAGTCTAGTTATGAACGTGGTTTGGAACATCACGCAAAGGAGAATGTGCGTGATACCTCTAGCCTCGTTGGTAAGGATACCGACAAGGTCAAGAAGGTCTGGGACGACAAGAACAGCCAAGAACATCCTACCGAGGAGAAATCCAAGGGCTTCTGGTCTAGTCTCGTAGGTGGTAGTGGTGCCTCCAATGAAGCGGCTCCTCCCAAGTCAACTACTCACAGCAGCACTCCTTCTGTCCCTTATGGCCAACCCGAGAAGAGAGTCTACGACACTGCTTCTACTGACCACGGCAACCCCATGGTGCACGAGAAGCACAACTTTGACAAGACCAAGCCTGGATGGGAAACGCGCTTAGAAAACTATGCTGAAAAGAATGTCCACGATACCAGCACTCTTGTTGGCAAAGACACTGAGAAAGTCAGAGGTGTTTGGGATGAGAAGCACGTTCGCGATAACGGTGGTGTTCCTGTTGCTCAAGAGAACTCCAACTCTTTCTGGTCTAGTCTCTTTGGCCAAGCCAAGGACGTTGAACAAAAGGTGGAAGAACGTTTGGAAGAAGGTTGGGAAGACGTCAAGTCCAAGGTCGGTCTTTCTGCTCATGACGTAAAGAAGGATGCCTCTGAAGCCTATCAAGACGCTAAGGATAAAGCATCTGCTGAAGCCAACCGTCTCAAGCGCGATGCTAGCAGCACTGCTGATAATCTCTCTCATAAGGCTGATCAAGAAGCCAATCGTGTCGAAAGCAAATGGAACAACCTCAAGTCCCAAGTCAAGGACGATGCCCAATCTGCCTATGATAGTGCTGCTAACACTGCCTCCAATGTCTCTGATAAGCTGAAGCGTGAAACAAGCAGAGCTACCTCCGAAACACAACGTAAGGCTGATGAGTTGAAGCGCACTGCATCTGGTCGTCTTGAGGCTGAAAAGAACCGTGCTTCCAGCAACTTGAAGGATTTGCACAACGAAGTCTCCTCCAATGCTGAAAAGTGGAAGGATCAGACTGAGGAAACTGCCAAGAGCTGGTATCAAAAGGGTACTGAACAGATCAAGAGTGGCCTCGAGACTGTAAAGACGACTGCTGACAAGGATCTCCATTGGGCTGAAGACAAGGTCTCTGAAGGTTTATCTACTGCCAAGACTGAGGTTGATCGTCTATTAGGTAAAGAAGTTCCCAAGGAGTCTGGCTACAGTGGCCATGTCATTCGTGGTGAGAAGTTCGCAGAGGAAGAAGAAGGCATGCTGAGACACACTCGCACCAACACCAACTTGAAGCCTGCTGAAGTTGTCGTTGGCAATGCTGATGGCAAGGAAATGTAAACCATGCACCAACTACATATAAAAGAATCTATTTATTACTATTCTCATTCAAATCATCCTGTAAATAACAAAATAAAGAAAGCTTGATTTTCCAATCCAACGTGTGTCTATATCAAGTGTTCTATTGTACATCTTCATGCTCCATTATGTGGACATACGCTGCTAAACCGGGGTTCAAAGCACCACATCAACAACCAAGCAGTAAATTAGTCACAGGCGCCCTGTCGAAACTGGTAAATCTTGTCATTCATGCCCCCAGAGCTGTCTATTTTATCCTTTTTCTATTAATACCAAATAGCATCTAAAAGAACTTTATATACACAAATGACGTCTAGATTCGGTAGAGTGGTTTTACTAGCCAGTCGAGCTTCATTGCTACGACAAGTACAGAGATCTACAGCATTCCATCTGACAAGAGCAACTGCAGCTTGTCAAACTAGAAAAATTGCCACTACCACTGTAGCCAAAGAGCAATATTTACATGGCTACAAAGACAGCGAGCGATACCATGGTATGTGGTTCATGAGAAGCACCTTTTTTCAGCATTGACATTACTCTATTCAAGGTGAATATCCCGGACGCACGCATTATTGTGGAGAACTGCGTGCTTCCAATGAAGGCGAGAAGGTTGTACTGTGTGGTTGGGCTCAATCGTCAAGGTAACTCATGAGATAATGGTGATTGTTGGCTTATTTAATAATGATGTGATTGTCGTTAGAGATATGTCTCAAGATCTGATCTTTTTGCCACTAAGAGATCATTCAGGTGTTACACAGCTTGTTTATAGAAATTCCAATGATGACCATCTTAAATCACAAATCCAATCATTATCAGCTGAAAGTGTGGTTTGTGTAGAAGGAGTTGTGAAGAAGAGGCCTGAGGGCATGGCCAATAAGACACAAGCTGCTGGCGATATCGAAGTTGAGATCACCAAAATCTACTGCTTGAATCCAGCTACACCCTCCCTGCCCTTCTGGCCAAATCAAGCTCAATTACCAAATGAAGAGGTTCGACTTCGCTATCGTTATTTGGATTTGCGTAGACAAGAGTTGCAGCACAACATTCGCCTTCGATCATTGACAGCAAACACGGTGAGAAACTATCTTACAGAGAATGGATTCACTGAAATTGAGACGCCCACACTGTTTAAATCCACACCAGAAGGTGCTCGTGAGTTCATCGTACCTACCAGAAAGAGAGGTGCCTTTTACGCACTACCACAAAGTCCTCAACAGCACAAGCAAATGTTAATGGCCGCTGGTTTTGATCGCTACTTTCAGATTGCTCGATGCTTTAGAGATGAAGATTTGAGAGCTGATCGTCAGCCTGAATTCACTCAAATCGATCTGGAAATGTCGTTTATTAAGATCAAGGATATTCAGCAGATTATTGAAGGCATGGTAACGTCTATCTGGGACAAGGCATTAGGCAAAAAGTTGACCAAAGAGCACTTCCCTCACATGACATACAATGAGGCCATGTCCAAGGTAAGCGCACATGCGTATAATCCAACTTGCAACACACAGCTCACTCATCGGCCTTGTATAGTACGGCTCTGACAAACCAGACATCCGATTCGACATGAAAATCAATGACATTGGATCCTATGCAAAGGATGTTGCAGGCGATGACGCGATTGATTGTATGGTTGTCAAGAAGGGATCCGCCCTAACTGGTGGTGATTTGAAAGCCATGCAAAAGGTATTGGATCTAACTGACGACAAGAATTTTGCATTTGTCAAGATCAACGAAAACAATATCCACTCTTGGTCGTCTAAATGCAACTCATTACGCCACTCACAGCACATTGCGCAATCCAAACAACTTGAGCAACTCAATCAGTCACTCGATATTGAGCAAGGGGATTTAGTCTTGGTGCATAAACGTCCCAGCTATCTTTACGGTGGCAACACAACCATGGGCCGCGTCCGTCTTCTCGTCTCTGATTTGATGCAAAAGAAGGGGCTTTTGACATTGGATCAAAACGAAAAGTTCAAGTTCTTGTGGGTTGAATCTTTCCCCTTGTTTACACCGGATGAGCAGGGTATCCGCGCATGGCAAGCAACACACCATCCCTTTACTGCACCTTACGACGAAGATATCCCGTTGTTGGCTACTGAACCCGAGAAAGTCAGAGGCCAGCATTACGACTTGGTGTTGAATGGTATGGAGATTGGAGGCGGCTCGATTCGTATTCATTCACCAGTGATGCAAACATTCATCCTGGAAAAGGTGTTGCAATTGGAAAAGCACGAGTACAAGCGATTTGATCATTTAATTGATGCCCTGGGCGGTGGATGTCCTCCTCATGGTGGCATTGCTTTAGGCTTTGATCGACTGATGGCTATTCTGTGCGAATCTGCCTCCATCAGAGATGTCATTGCTTTCCCCAAAGCTGCTGGTGGTAAAGACTTTGTCGTGAATAGTCCCTCTGAAGTGACAACGGCTCAATTGAATGAATATGGTCTTCGACTGGCCAATGTGGATGAAAAGAAATAAAATAGAGTATCACATTAGCCTTCTAAAAATCGGTAGATATTGTATGGGCGCACTTTGCAAGCAAAAGATACCAGCTTTTCTACGCAGTGTATTGAGCTTTCTTGTCTTCTCGATGGGATGCCTGGTGATGGTAAGAATAATAACGTTGAGGAAACCATCCACTATTTCTGCGCCTGATACGATGTCGTTTTCAAGACTTGCCAGCCAACCAAAATCAATTCTATCTCCGCTCAACCTCTGCAATAGATTGGATAGCTTTTGCTTAATTTCGACTTGATTGATCTATTTCTTGAGAACCGACTATATAAATTGTCCTAATTGTCCCATGCACTCTTAGGCTTTCTTGAAGTACTTTGCAAGGCGCATCCAATGGTACCAACTAAGATGAATGTTTTGAATAAACTTATTGAGTAATTTATGAAAATATGAAAAGAGGTTTCTGGCCAAAAAGTCGAGATTTTACATATCAAGGTCACACAAAGATGATTTCAGAAGTTGTGTTAGATCGATAGAAACATTTTGATTCAATACATACCATAGTAAAAGTCTTCATTTTCAGCGTGAAAAACAAGATCGTTTGATTTTTGTTAAAAACCATGAGGGATACCTCATGCTTTTTGGTCGAATTTTGGCCATGATTTTTTGGTCACCAAAAAGTTGAGCAAAGGTGTCAGGAAGTAAATGCTAGGTGAGAGCAATCGTTTGGCGCTAATCCGGCAGTCTAAAACGGCTTTAAACGCGAGAAAACACGACTGAAGTGTATCCAAATTTCGCTGTGTTCTGCATATCTTTGAGTATTAAGAGGTAATGCCAGTACACTGTCTGCCCGTGTACAAACTATTTCTCTGTGTATGAATGTGGAGCATCGCATAAGAGTCAGACTCACAGATATGGTGGGTTCTCGTGCAAGATTGGAGAATTACTCAATCTTTAATCATTAATATTCTGAGGCACCAAGCGGAGGGAAGCTGACGCTTCAAATGTCTAGTTGCCAGCTGTAGAGTGTCTTGATCCGCTTTCTCTTGGCTTTCCACCTTCCATTATTTAAGACTTCGTAAATTGGAAGAAGATCTGGGTTTCTTGAATCAGCAGTAGCCGTAAACAGCCTTATTGGATTAGATCAACAGTTGAAACTCCAAACGAGATCCTCAATCTAAGCTGAACCAGTCGATGCTCTTCATTTTTTCTGTGTTATATCGCCTCAATGTAACGCATAGGCATCGATCATTTCAAAAAACTGATGGCATGTACCTCGAATAGCATTTACTAATAGTAACTGATGTATACAAAATATTCATCTGTGCTGTATCTGACAGGTGGATCAAGTTTCAGTCTCCGACTCAGGGGTAAAATAAATTTCGTATATGTTTTAGCTCCTTTTCATGAATTGGAAAGAGTGTGGGGTAAAGGAAACTAGTGTTTGGATTCTTGACTGCACGGTGAAAGAGTCTGCGATCAAACTGATTGCTTTTATATGGAAGATCAACTAAATAAATGGACTGAAATGTTATCATTATCAACAAAAATGACTTTTTCTTTCATCTTTAGATATTTTGGACAGGCTTTATATATGAATACTTGCTCCTTCCCGGCAATAGTTTGCCGAATTGGGAATCATTTAGCACATGAAAAATAGATCCATCTCATTTTTTTTTTTCGGTGACTTGTTGATTTTTGATTGTCAAACAAAATGAATATGACTAACAATGTAGTCCAGATTAGACTTTTAGACTATAATGGTCCACATGGCATGAAGTTTTACCCGATTCATTTGTCTGTAGTATTATTTAATTTTACATAAAAATTGGGATTTACACAAACCAAGCTGGAAAACTCGCTCAATTGATTCGAGATGCTTTTCATTGACACATTTGATCTCTTGTATTTTATATCTCCACATCTCAATTCTATCTGGTATCTCTGGAATAGCATGGCGCTAACTGGAAAAAGACAATCTTATTTGGTACATCTGAGAACCAATGCATTTCATTTTTCATCCAGCTTTTCTTATCAACATCCAAAACAACACATCCGTTGATGGCATACCATCCGGATATATCATGGATTGATCAGAATGACAGCATGATGAAAACAAGATGTTGGCTCTCTTTTTTTTTCATCATTAAACCTTTGTCCAACTCTGAATTCCAGCTCTACTCGTACAACAAGTAACATTGCATTCCTTGTTTGTAGGATGGCATCCCATCATGATTGGTTTAGAAAAATTTGTACCTGAAAGCCTCGCTTATCTTGAACTCCATATCCAATCAAGCAATTCGGAAGAGGAATTAGTTTCAAGGCAGTGTTTGCAAGTATGACACATCTTGTATAATGGCGAGTCACTATTTAGGGGTATATTAGATCTACATCTTTCACTTTTGCCCCAGATTTTTTCTCTTCTTTTTCTTCTTCTTCTTTGTCAAAAAAATCCTCTTTTTTAACAAAGCCTCTACTATCAATTATCAACATAGCATAGGCAATTACCTTTACCGTTCTTTACAAGACGTAACTTTATGTATATTCACGCTTACGAAAAGTGCTCAGCCGATTATATTTGCGATCAAAGTAAGTTGAATGTCAATTGGGAATGTTGATTCAATGCTGATTTTACCGACCACTATCAGTTTGGAAATCCTCAGTGAATCTCTAAATTAACCACCAACTCTATCTAAACAACATTCAATCAATCTATTTAATTAATTAACTCATATAAGAAAATAATTCTTAAAACTATCAAGAAATCTCTAATTATTCTATACATTCAATTCAATTATTCTCAACATGTCCAACAACGTTATCGACAACACTCTTCCTGCCTCTCTCAAGTTGAAGACTGGTCAAATCTTCCACGGTACCTCCTTTGGCGCTCCTGTCAACACTTTTGGTGAAGCTGTCTTTACCACATCTCTTGTCGGCTATCCCGAATCAATGACTGATCCCTCTTACACTGGCCAAATCTTGGTTTTCACTCAACCCTTGATTGGTAACTATGGTGTTCCTGGTCAAGATAAGGACGAATTTGGTCTCTACAAGTACTTTGAATCCGATGGCATCCAAGTTCAAGGTATCATTGTCAATGATTATGCCACTGAATACTCTCATTGGACTGCTGTCGAGTCCTTGAGCGAATGGTGTGTGCGCCACAATGTCCCCGCCATCAGCGGTGTCGATACTCGTGCTTTGACTCAACTTTTGCGTGATCAAGGCTCCACTTTGGCTCAAATCTGCGTTGGTGATGAATCTACTGTCGATAACATTAGTGCCCTCCAATTCCCCAACCCCAATGACGAGAATTTGGTTGCCAAGGTTTCCACCAAGGTCCCTGTTACTTACAACCCCAAGGGTGAGCTCAAGATTGCCGTCATTGATTGTGGTGTCAAACAAAACATTCTCCGTTGTCTTGCCAGCCGTGGTGCTTGTGTCACTGTGCTACCTTACAACTACGATTTCAACGCTGTCGCTGATCAGTTCGATGGTGTCTTCGTCTCCAACGGTCCTGGCTCTCCTGTTGCTTGTGTTGAGACCATCAAGAACCTCAAGGTTGCCATTGACCACTTGAAGAAGCCTATCTTTGGCATCTGCATGGGTAACCTTTTGCTCGGAATGGCCGCTGGTCTCCAAGTCTACAAGTTGCCTTTCGGTAACCGTGGTCATAATCAACCTGCTCTCAACGTTGATACCGGTCTCTGCTACATTACCTCTCAAAACCATGGTTATGCCTTGAATGACACTTGCATGCCCAAGAGCTGGAAGCGTTTGTTTGTCAATGCCAATGATGGTTCCAACGAAGGTATTCAACATGAAACCAAGCCCATCTTCTCTGTCCAATTCCATCCTGAGGCTAAGGGTGGTCCCCAAGATACTCAGTACTTGTTTGAAGAATTTTTGAAACATGTTCGTGCTCAAAAGGTTGAAAGTGAAGGCTTCCATGCTTCTATCAGTGATCTTCAAACATCTACTGTTGCTGCATTTGCCTAAATCATTTTCTTACTATCAAAGCATTATTTCATATCAAAAAGAAACAACTTTTATCAAGATAATTTATCCATTCTCTTATACAAACCAACTCAATTATCCCTTTCATTTTTTGTTTCTAATTTTCTCTTCGTTAACGTTTTACTCTTTTATTTTTCTGCATAATTATTTCACTTAAAAGTTTTTTTTTTTTTACAAAATAAAAAAAAAAAAAAAATTCCATATTAAACACTTATACATAATACCTTTGAAACCTCTGAATTCAACGCATCCTCACTCCTCTTCAGATCATAAAATTCTATGCTGGACACGATCGATGTATACTTGAGACAAAAAATATATTTTATTGGTAAAACGTTGAGTTATCTGACAAAGATACTATGGATCTTTTCAAATTCCAAAAGGCTGCTCAATTGGACGCATCTGTTTTGGTTGCTCAGTTGTGTTCCATTCAAGGGCAGCTGCAACTTGGCCAATGATTTTAAATTCTTGGTTGACTATTGAATATGAGATTAGATCAGATATACATATGAAGATCTGTATGAAATCTTACCTTGACCAGCGCATTGGGGTTGATGTGCGACACTGGTGCTTGGTGCTGATGTTGATCTACTCGCACTTTATCCATCTTGTCCTTTAATTGATCACATCGTTGCTTCAGGGTATACAACACAGATTGTTGTGTTTGGTATTGATAGTCTGGTAATCGCTTCTCGCTTTGCCATTTACCGCCCCTACGATCAGCGGATAATTGAATGACTTTGGGTGTTGCACTCGCTGTACGCATATCCTTGACCAGCATGCGTGTCTCGAGAGCAAAGGATCGCATCATGGCTTGCACTTGTGGCTCTACAGGCTTCTTTTGCTTGTATTCGTCTTGCAAGTGGAGTGATCGAATAATATCCGAACTCTTGAGATGGGCATTCTCTGCTCTCAGGTAGCGAATAGCAGCTTTCAAGGATTCCACTTGGCTGGTCATTTCGTGAATATTGGTATTGGCCATTTCCACATTTGATGAGGGTTCTTCCATCATATCGAATTCTGCCTTTTTAGGTGCTGATAATCTCTTTTCCTCTTTCTTGGCTGCATTCTTTTTGAGTTGTATATTCTCCTGCTCCAATGCATCGTATTCTGCTTGAAGATTCTCGACTGCTTCTGTGTACATCTTTTCTTGTGCCTGTGTCTTTGCCAAGGTCTCTTCCAGTGCTTGATCGGCTTGTTTCTTTACTGTCTCCATTCTCTTTTCAAGCAGTTCGATCTTTACACTGGATTCCTGCAGCGCTTGGTCCTGTACATGTGTTACGAAGTGCCTGTGCTACCCTGCATGTGGGATTCCCGACTTTACCTTGAATTTCACATCCTTGATCAGTTTCACAATCTCATCACAATGTTGTTGTAATTTGCGCTCCATATCATGGTTCATTACTACTTCTGCCTTCATGTCAGAGGCTCTTTGGACCCACGGAGCGACGCCAGTGGCAACTAGGATCATATGTTGGCACCTGGTATTGCACACACTATCATTCTACTTACTTTTTTCTGTCTTGTTTTCGTTGGAAATACGCTCGAATGTAGTGCCCAGCTCGTTTGTCAATGACTTCAACGTTTTGAGACATGCTTCCCACATGGTGCTCTCGGCGATTTCGAGTATTTCGTCAGCCTTGCTGTATACAATCTGCTGTATGATGCCTAGACTAATTTCCTCCTTGCTGCTCACTTTGGCATCCACATAGACTGATATCTGCTTGTACGTTTCGTAACAGAATTTGCTCAACTTTGAACTGATGGCGTACAACATTTTGAATCGATGCAGATACTCAGACTTTAAAGTGAGTGCTTGTTCAGAGAGGTCCTCTAATTGTCGCAATAGTTTTCTAGATACACAGGGGCGTTCATTTGTCTGTTATCACAACAGCTTGTCTAGACTTACTTTGCCAAAATCTTGCTATTTTTAGCTTGCACAATCAGCCTGCCTAAAGGCTCCAGATAGTCATAGTCGAGCCTCTCTCTTCCCTCAATGATATTGATATCTAGTTACAGCTGTATCAGTTTCCGATGTCCACGCTAAACAACGACTACTTACTCTCATTTTGAGCCGCATGATCCACAGCTTGCTTGACATAGGTCAACTCGACTGTCATTCTATCAGCATTCAAATCCAAAGCTCTCGTCAAACCAAAGAACTGATCCACATGGTTTGCCTCACTTTGCGCCAAGTGAATTTCACTCAAATGTTCCAATTGAGCAATCATTCGCTGCAATTCCACCACGCATTCCGTCTCGTTGATCTCATCTGTGCGCAATAGATCCACAATTCCCGTCAATCTTCTTTCAGTGCCCACCAAATCATGGTATACCTGGCCCATCTTGATGAATGTTAAGGGATTGCAGTTGATGACGAACGTAACAAATCGTTTGCCCAGATCGCTCAACCAACCAGCGCGCTGCCTCATCTCGCAAACAGCCACAAGACTCTCAGGCACAGTATCCATGATCTTTTCGCTGATGGGATGATTCTGATCCAAATGCTTGATGATCAATTCTGCCTTGAATACCAGACGCTTGTACAGCAATACGCATGATATAGCGTCATTTTCAGTCTTGAAGAATGAATCTGGGAGATAGGGCTGAATGTAACTGAGGCGATCATTGGCCTGCGCTGCGTCCAGCTTACGCAGCTCGAGGTCAATGGATTTAGCTTGGGCTTTCATGACGGTGGATTGTAGCTGCATGTTGAGCGACATCATGGCTTGAGACTGACTACTGAGTGTTCGTTTCTCGGATTGTTGGCTCACTTCCTTGTGTCGAAGCTGCTCCAAATCGTTCTGCAAAGTGGTCACCAGCTCTCTGAACTGCTGGATAGTTGCTTCATAATCTGCATTTGTCTCTTCGCAAGAACGAAGACGTTCCACCTGTTCGCGCAGTAGCATGTCTCTGTGGTCAATTTCGGCCTGTAGTTGCTTTTCAGTTTCCATGTGGTTCTCTTCCAACTCGTCTGCTAGCTCCTTCAACGCTTCCAAGTCATCGATCACCATGCGCATCTCATCCATCTTTTCAGTCAAGGCCAGATTCTTCTCAGTAAGTTGCTCCACGAGATCTTCAGCACCCAACGCATCATCAAGACGCTGCTTGAGCTCTTCAATCGTGTATTCAGCATCTTCTAATTTGCCACGAGTTTTGTCGTACTGTCCTTTGACTTCTTCCAGCTCGTACGTCTCCTTCTCCAAGTCTTTGATTCGGTTGCTGAGCTCGTCTTCTCTTACTTTGGCTACGTCTCTTAACCTAAAATCGCATTGACATCTGAGCCATTTGCGTGTATAGCCACAATGCACATCAACCTACTTCATCAATGCCTCCTTGAGTCGCTCATTGTGTCTCTCCAGTTGAATCACTTCTAAGGGCGTCTTCTCATCTCCATCACGATCAGGTACACGGTTGATGATATCAGCCTCCTTCTTTAACACGTCAAGGTCCACACTAATCTCCTCAATTTTATCCTTGAGAATGCTGACTTCTTGCTGTAAATGCTCTGCTCGCTCCTCTGCTACTTCTTTGTCCAGTGTCATCATTTCAAGCGATTCAACAGCATCGTTGTAATTGTTCTCATACGCCTCTCGCTCAGCGGAAGATTCTTTGAGCTGTCTCTTTGTGTCTCGCAGCTCCTTTTGCAACTCGGAGATCTTGTCTTGTAGCTTATTTCTCAGAGTCAAAAACTGCTCTGCTTCTTCTTTGACTTTCTCATGCTCGCGATAACGCTCTCGATCCTCCTGGCGTTTGCTCTCCAAAATCTTGAGTTTCAGGCGAAGTTCCTCGTATTCTTTGAGTGGGATCATTTGTTCTGATTTGCTGACAGGCAAGTTGATAGCCAATGATCCATAGCTTTGCTGTTGTTGTTGTGGTTGTTTCTGAGGCAAAACGGTGGAGGATGTAGTGGAGACCATGCCTACCCCTCCTCGATCTGATATGCTGCTCATGGATTCTGATTCAGACATTTCTTGTTGCTGCTGCTGCTGTTGTTGCTGTTGCTGCTGCTGTAGCTCATAAGCGTCTTGCTCTTCTTGATCTCTACCAGCTAATTCCTCCTCCTCTTGCAACTGTCTATGCAATTCTGCTTCTTCTTCGTCTTCCCTCTTTTGCTGTTGCTGTAGCAATTGTTGTTGCTGCTGTAGCTGAGCGAGTCTCTCCTGCTGTTGCTGCCTCAATTGCTGTAATTTATTCTCCTTGACATCCTTTTGTGAGTTTGTATTAGAACGAGGTCTAGTGGGTGTGGTAGGCGTGGCAACCTTGCTCTTTCTTGCTGCATTGGTGACACTGGCAGTAGGCGAAGCAGATTTTCGACTGCTAGCAGTAAGCCCAGCTACATTTGTCTTTCTGCTATTTGCATTAGGAAGTCTACTGATTCTGGAAGGAGATGTGATGCGAGAAGGCAGCAAGGTGGATGAACTCGACGGTGTATGCTGTTGAACTGTTCTTGCGGCTGCTAAATTTGGGTCCTGAGCAGGTGCAAATCGACGTTCAGAGAGTGAAGGAGAAAGGCTTTCTTCATCTTGTTGCTCTTCCTCCTCCTCCTCCTCGTCTTCTTGTTCGTCGTCTATTGTAATGACCTTAACTTGGCTTGGCCTGACAAATACACCATGGTTTGTTTTGCATTCAAAGTAACGTTTACCCTGAACGACACCACTGTTCTTGCCTTGAGCTTCGTCTAGCTCAATACCCACCCATTTTCCAGTTTGAAAGCTGGTTGTGCCTACAAATCTGATGGTGCCAATTTTCCCTTGAACCTGGGCACGAGCTCCTGCTTTGAGTTCTGAGGAGATGTCATGATTTACGCTGCTGAGTGAGGAATTACGTGAAGAACTCATGATGGAACGACGTTTTTGTGGGTCGAAACCTGACATTATCTTGTACTGTTATATCGCTTGGTTGTCTGGTGGATAGTGATTACTGCTGTATAGTCGTTAATATATAGTGCGTATAGTAGAAAAAGAGATATTAAATTAGATGGTTGGAGAAAAAAAAAAAAGAAAAGTATTTATTGTTGCCTGAAATTCCACCACGGGTTTGCACCTTTTGTATCCCCTTAGATTGCCTTTTTAGGCCTTATTATACTGAGCAATGATATGGTCAATGGCTTCGACAACTGATTTGAATACGTGTAAATCAGTATCTTGGTTGCTGTCTTCTGGGCGATATTTTCCTGTTTGAACTTGATGTATGACATGTGTCATTTGAGTGCATTTCGAGTGCAAACATTGGATCAACATTTACCTAGAAATCGATGCAAGCCCAATTCCTTTGCACCGCCCCCTAGATCATTGGAGACATCATCACCGATGATGGCAACCTGCCCGGGTGTACTTTCCATGTTGCTGTAGCAAAGAAAAAGGTGAATAGTCTATTGATATGCACTAAAGTGATCGACCTTACATTTGCTGGAGAGCCAGCCTGAAGAAATTAGTGGTGGGCTTGCCCACGATACTAGCTGTAACACCTGATGCATATTCAAGAGCTATCACATCACTGTCAGCATCGCATATTGACAGACCAAACAAACAGAGTAATATACCTTGAACAAATCCGCCAGGGCCCATTGACAACTTCTCATCTTTATCAGCAAAGTATCTCGCCTTGTGAACAGCAATCAATTCAGTGCCAGGATTGGAAGACAACAAACGAAATGCCTCATTCAACTATCGCATGCCGATTTATGAGTACAAAGCTCAACTGTAATAGCATCTGTTTCAACTCGAGACAGGCTCCATCAAGTCATCGTTATACCTTCTCATAGTTGAATTTCGATGGAGCCAAACCAACCACAACAGCATTGGGATCAGCTACATCTATGTCCTTAAACTCTTCCATAGCAGCATCCTCCATAATCAAGAAGGGCCTATTCAGTTCAATTAATCTTCCGTCTACGAATTATTCCTGCAAAATGACATACCTCAATTGCTTTGATTTAATCATATCGCGGCATGCTGATAAGGAAGTAAACACCTAGAATATCGGTTACTTCTTCATCTCGGTCGAATATAGCAGGTTTGCAATACATCTCTCTCCTCAACATCAAAGCCCAAAGTAGTGAGTTTATCCACCAGCTGCTTTGATGACACTTTCGTAGTATTAGTTGCGAATCTATCAGAATTGGTCAATTTTGGTATAAAGATTCGCTGAAAGAAGCTGTTTTTTGATACCTAAAAGGTATTTTGCTAGCTTGGAGGCGTTGAATGGCTTCAATTGCGCCGGGAATAACCTTTTTGTCGATATGAATCGTGCCACTCAAATCAATAAGAACGCCTTTGATAGTTGACATGATGAATATAAAGAAAGAAAAATGCAGTTTAGAGACGCGAACTCGGTGCAGGATTCAAAAATAGAATTTGCAGCTACAGCAACGTCTGAATGTATAGGTTGATTATCACATTTCAGTAGACGGTTTCAGACATAACGTTTCAAAAGCTTACGAATAACGTCATGTAAGGGTGCAGCCACCTAGACAGCCCATTGCCTAGCAATAGCTGCCATCTTTTCTTTGGCAAAAGAGACGCTGCTGGTAGGATAGCCTTTAATAACTCTCAGTCGCTTCTAGCAGCGATCATGTTAGGAAACTTTGCTTTGTACAAGTACATGTAGATAATTTATTATATATCATTCATAATTAAAAGATATGTCATGTTGTTTAGAGTTGACCACAGTTATCAATGATAATCTTCTTGGTGGTACGACCAGAACCAGTACCGTAAGATTCAATCTTCTTGACGATATCCAAACTAAACACCAAATGTGTTAGTAATCAGCCCCCGTGTATGTCTGCTTGGCATTTCCATTCAAAATGCTAACTTACCCTTCAATAACCTTACCGAAGACGGTGTGCTTGCCATCTAACCAAGTAGTCTTGATAGTGGTAATGAAGAATTGAGAACCGTTGGTGTTGGGACCAGCGTTAGCCATGGACAAATCACCGGGACCAGTGTGCTTAAGAGTGAAGTTCTCATCGGCGAACTTGTTACCATAGATGGACTTACCACCGGTACCGTTGTGGTTGGTGAAATCACCACCTTGGAGCATGAAATCAGGGATAACACGGTGGAAAGAACAACCCTTGTAACCGAAACCCTTCTCACCAGTACAGAGAGCACGGAAGTTCTCAGCAGTCTTGGGGACGACATCAGATCTCAATTCCATGACGATACGACCGAGAGGAGCACCATCAGCAGAGACATCGAAGAAAACCTTGGGGAGAGACATGTTTAAAATATAAATTTATACAGAAAAAGAAGAAGAAACCCTTTTTATGAAAAACTTTTTGCAATTTATACTCTTGCCTTTGAAATGATGGCACACATCATCCTGATAGTAAGCTTTCTGACGCGCTTTTGAACAACCGATATTCTTTTAGCTTCCAAAAGTTGCCATTGCTCGAGTTTTACTGGGAGAACTAAATTGAATGGGGTTGAAATGCCTTGACATTTGTTTAAAGATTCATGGATCAAGACATGTTTATCATTGATTTGCATTGTTTGTTTGCTACTTGTATGATTCATGTGAACCTTATTTCTAGGCTATCGTCACCTACATTTTGCGTGCATGTATATTTAACATGACAATACAAGAGTAGTGAGAAATTTTTGACATTTAACACAGTCTTCAGTCTTCAGTCTTCAGTCTTCAATCTCAGTGTTGTTTTATGGAACTTTACTCCACTTTATAAATTCTTTGAAAAGACATTTCATTAGTCGTCCATACCATTAGCACACATAGAACTAGACTGGGGTAATGTTATAAACCAGCGCGTTCAAAATCTAATAGCATTACAGCGAAGAGCACTAATCCGTCCTTGCCAAGAATGAAATCTCGTCGTCATTCTTCATTTTAAATCCTAGCGCATTGATGGGCACATTAACGCATTGATGGGCACATAAACGTATTGAATTGAACATTTCGGGGGCGCTGCTTTGAAGGGCAAAGCTTATAACAACACAGATACAGAGCTGTTATCCCAAGATTTACCAAACCTTCATAAATTTATTACTCGTGAGAATCTTTTGCAATATTTTTTCAAGCCTTTTGAACCGTAGCAACGCTCAAATCCCCTAACTTGGATATTACGACATGAGAAAACTATATGATCTACATGCTTGTGAGATAATAGCATGGGATTTCGAAGCAGCACTGCGCATTGGCTCGGTCTATTTGTTCGAGACTTGATGTCAATGTTTGATTTCAAAATATTTCACTGAAGAGATCCTGAAACAAGTATTGTCAGAGGTGTTTTACTACCATAAATCAACATTTTCTTGTTGAAATTAATAGAGAACAGCTTACGATGTGAAGGTTATTCTAAAAACGAGATACCATTGTGATGACCTCTAAACCCACAACTTTGTCAGTGATTAAAAATGATGGCTTTAAAAAGAATAAAATTTTGGGATGAAAATTGTCATGTCTTCGGACCTCTGACACTTATTAAAATTGGAACGATACAGAGAAGATTAGCATGGCCCCTGCACAAGGATGACACTAAATCTCTGAGAAGGAAGCTCTACGGAGCACATTTTTTTTTTTGTCAGTGCTCTCTATCAGTCCATCTTCTGGATATCTCTCTAATTGTCTTCTTTTTTGAAAAGAAAAATACAAACAAATCTCCAGACATCCTTGCTTTTTGGCTGGTTGCTTGAACTTCTTTTATAGGGCCACATCCCAAAGTATGGGATCATGAAAAAGGGCTGAGCGATTTACATTTCCCATTGAAAGCCGCATATGGACGAACAATTTGTAGCGATTACCTGACGTAGATAGACCAAGCTACATTACGCATTTGATTCGCAATTTCCTTTTTATGAGTCTCCAATAGCATTGATTACGTTCGGTTCAAAGGTTTTTATTACTCACTCAACATAAATCATAGTATAGCACGATTTTAATCAAGCGGCAGACGTAATTTTCTGTGATATTATATATTGAGACAAACGTATGAAAACGATTAAAATAAGGACAAATTATAGGCTGGCATGAATGAGATCCTTATCGATCATCTTTTGGATGTTGAGTCGGATAATACTCAGCACAGCGACGGGAGCGAAGGAAATTTGATCAAAGATAAGACAATAGTGAGCCTTCCAACTGTTAGCTATCGAAATAACAGATTTATTATGGGAGGAGTCACGAAGCCGTTGACTATATCGAATATTGTGCAAGTCAAGAGTAAAGAGAGAATTTGATTATCTTCGCACTGATCTTGCCAGCCAGAAATTAATTGAACCATCGCTTCACATTCTGTCCTGATTTGTTCATTTTCGAACTTTATGGACTCGATTCGACCTATTTTGCAAGATTCGACTATATAAATGTTATGACCATCCTATACTTTCTAATGCGCCCGTGGTGGTAGGGCGAAGTGGTTAAGCATCCAACATGCCATCTGGATGATCCCGATTCAAATCTCAGTGAATGCATTTTGGTGATTATTTTGACGTAGTACTGATGTCCTCGTTTGGTGTTTTGTGCTCTTATCCAGTATCCATATATCCATATTTTGAGGATTCGCATGATTGTATCGGCTCTAGGTGTCGCACCTGATTAGTAGTAGATTTCTTTCCCAACTTAGTTCATTATATATCTTATTCCCCTTCATTGCAGACATTGGGTCCACCAACAATCTTTTCTTTCCCTCAGTATGACATTTTAAGGACTTTAAATAAAACCTGGAGCTCGACTCCCCTACAAAAAAAAATACTTTCTAATGCATTTACGGAGTGCCTTTCAAGGCGCATCTGATGGTATTAAATAAAAGGTGCGTTTTGAACAAAGTTATAAAACAATATTGAAAAACATGAAATGAGGTTTTCGGCGAAAATGTCGATATTCTATATATGAAAGCCTCGCAAAAGTGATTTCAGGGGTTTCTTTGGATGAATATCATCATTTTGAAGTTATATATGCTACAGTAAAAGCCTTCGTTTTGAAGGTCAAAAACGCAATCGTTTAATTTTCGAAGAAAATCATGAGGTACTTTTTTTTTTTTTTTTAAATTGTTTTTATTGATTGCTCCGTGTAAGTAGGTCCCTAGGGCACTACCAAGAGGCGGGCGCAATTGATATGATATTCAATTGTATTTAGGATAAAGCGATAGATGACAGGAACAGATGATAGATGATAATTGTGATTAGAGAATTACAATTGCTTGTGAATTTCAGTTTGGGCATGTAGTTGAAGGAGCTCGTTCTTGATCTGCTGGACCACATCGATCCATATAAATGGAGTCGAGTGAAAGATCATACGAACTTGAGCTCGCCAAATGTTGCCAAGTGTTACCAGTACGACCATGTGAGCAGTGGTGTATGATTTGGAGACATACTTGATGTTTTCAAAGTCAAGAGAGGAACAGGCTTGGATAATATCACCAATCGAAACGGTTGGCCACAAGAATTCAAAGATGATAGCTTTCCAGATGGATGCCTTACTGGAACAGAGGAAAAGCAAGTGTACAGCATTTTCTTCGTTACCACAGATCGGGCAGAGAGGTGACTCAGCTATCTCAAAGTAGTGTAGCAGGCGTTTGGTCGGGATGGTGTGGGTGAGGAAGCGATAGATGACATTACGGTGGACAAGGTTCAGGGACAGAGACCAGAAGAAATTCCAGTTGGACCTGGCAATGCTGGAGGTGTGAGCCTCGATGCATGCTGTGCGGAATGTTCTGGTTGAAATCTGTCGAGTGAGGCCTTGCTGGCTGTTGAAATCATAGGAGTCAATAAACGGTTTGAAGGAGATGTCGGTTGTGCGGTTGGTGCCACCCTGAGGGGGTTGTAGCATGAGGCTAAAGTACGGCTGGATATGTACTTTGTTCTCGTTGATTTGCCTCAGGATTTTCTTGCAAGCGCGTCGAATGTCAGCTGGGATGGTTGGTGCTTTTCGTGCTTCGAGTTGCAGAGGTTGGTCAGGATTGGGTTGATAAAGATCCTTTACTTGCAACTGAGTGGCCCTAATCGGCATTTTGGAGACAGTGGCAGACGGCTGCAGAATGGCTTTGACAGGTAGGATTGAGGCGGTAGCAATATTGAGGTGAACTGGTTCATTGATGCGTTTGAGGCGGTCAACTGATTTGTAGATCATTGTTACCGTGTTGGTGCGTTGTTTGGTGAGACCAGTGGTTCGTGTGAGGGGAAAGAGCAACGGAACCTGCACATGCGCACTCTGATTTTGCTTATTCACTAGCATGACCAGCATGAGATCTAGGATGTGGGGCGAGTCAGAGGGATGGAGGAGCGGTTGAACCCAACGAAAGTATAGGGCTGATTGTTGCAGAGCAACATCCAGAACACCTAATCCACCTAATGGCTTCGGCTTGGTCCATGTGGCCCAGGGGATAACAGGAAAGATGCCTTTTCGTAGAAACTTGGTGCAAATGGACTGGATAGCTTGGACATTACTTTGAGCAAACGGAGTTACTCGTAGTACATACCAGCATTTGGACAAAATCAAACTGTTGAGCACTGTAGCTTTGCCAACGACGGAGAGACTTCTTACACTGTGGATTTTGGTAGCTGTCCGGAGATTGTCGACAAGACCACCGATAAATACTTCACGTTGTTGAACCGATTGCAGCAGAGGAAACCCGAGATAGATCACTGGATTGGAATCCTTGTTGGATGTGAATTTTGTGATATTCATTTCCGAGAGTCGTGCTTGCCAATATGACCATGTGTTTTGACCAGAGAGCGAGATAGCTTCGACCTTGTTGTAGTTAATCTTGGCATTGGTTGCATTGCAATAGACATCTAAGTGGTACTCGAGTCTTGCCAGATCAGGAAGGTCTTGAACAAATACAAAAGCATCGTCAGCGTAACATAGGATTTTTGACACATGAACTAAAGGGTCATTAGCATTATAGTTGGGATGGTCAGTTGCATACTGCATTTGATAGCCGTGGTATAATGGATCATTGAGAATAGACCGCAGAAAGGGTTCAATAGCCAAATTGTACAAAATAGAGGAAATGGGGTCACCTTGCTTTAAGCCTCGCAGCTTGGGAATATCATCAGTAAAGTAACCATTCACATTGATGCGCAAGAGATTTTGGCCCATCATGTTGATGATGCAGCGGACAAGATTAGCAGGGAAGCCATAAGTAATGAGTGCTGTTTGAAGGTACGAGAGGTTAACTCGATCGTACGCTTTTTCCTGATCAAGACTAAGGCCAATTGCTTTGGGCATTTGGTGTATCACATTGTTCTTCTTGGCCAAGTTCA